ATAATAATAATAATAATAATAATAATACAAACCAGTAATTTGGTCCCAGTGGTGATCGGCACACTGGGTGCAGTGCCTAAAGACCTTGGCCTGCACTTAAACACAATCGGCACTGACAAAATTACCATCTGCCAATAATAATAATAATAATAAGAAGAAGAAGAAGAAGAAGAAGAAGAAGAACAAACCAGTAAAGGTGGTCCCAGTGGTGATTGGCACACTGGGTGCAGTGCCTCAAGACCTTGGCCTGCACTTAAACACAATCAGTGCTGACAAAATGACCACCTGCCAGCTGAAAAAGGCCATCTTACTGGGATCTGCATGCATTATTTGCTGATACATCACACAGTCCTAGGCACTTGGGAAGGGTCCGACGTGTGATCCAATACAACAGCCAGCAGAGTGATCTTGTCTGGTGTGGACTCATCTTGTTGTATTTCTAATAATAATAATAATAATAATTATTATTATTATTATTCAGCATATAGATCTTGTTTGCTGTGACATAATAATAATAATAATAATAATAATAATAATAATAATAATAATACAGCTCCTGCCTTGTCAGGTGGTGTTTTCCATGCATCTTGATTGACATTCATAACCCAAGGACAAAAATCATCCTATTGTCATATCTGATATTTTCTGAAAAGTTACCAGATTTCTAGGCTGGAAATCCAGACTTTTCGGAGACATTATTCCCATTCCTCCCAAGAGCCTGCCTGCCTCCCTCATTTATCAAGCGATGAGAATGGCCTTATTTATTTATTTATTTCATTTACTTATATCCCGCCCTTCTCACCCCGGGGGGGGGACTCAGGGCGGCTTACAGAGAAGGCACAATTAGATGCCTAAATCAATCGACAGCAATACAAAGTACAAAAAAGCAATTCAACAGTTAAATTGGATATTAAGTTGTTTTCACAACCGATCTAAAGTCCATCTGGTCCCTTATCAGCAGAGATAAGCAGTGCCAGTCTCTGGCCGGGCAAGGAGCCTCCGCTCACAACCTCTTCAACCTGTTGCCTTCCAGGTGTTTTGGACTTCAGCTCCCAGAATTCCCCTTTTTTTGTTTATGGGGTTTTTTTTATTGTGGTATATAATCATAGAATCATAGAATCAAAGAGTTGGAAGAGACCTCTTGGGCCATCCAGTCCAACCCCATTCTGCCAAGAAGCAGGAATATTGCATTCAAATCACCCCTGACAGATGGCCATCCAGCCTCTGCTTAAAAGCTTCCAAAGAAGGAGCCTCCACCACACTCCGGGGCAGAGAGTTCCACTGCTGAACGGCTCTCACAGTCAGGAAGTTCTTCCTCATTTTCAGATGGAATCTCCTCTCTTGGAGTTTGAAGCCATTCCTCCATTGCGTCCTAGTCTCCAGGGAAGCAGAAAACAAGCTTGCTCCCTCCTCCTCCCTGTGGCTTCCTCTCACATATTGATACATGGCTGTCATATCCCCTCTTAGCCTTCTCTTCTTCAGGCTAAACATGCCCAGCTCCTTAAGCCGCTCCTCATGGGGCTTGTTCTCCAGACCCTTGATCTGCTCCCTCCTCCCTGTGGCTTCCTCTCACATATTTATACATGGCTCTCATATCTCCTCTCAGCCTTCTCTTCTTCAGGCTAAACATGCCCAGTTCCCTAAGCCGCTCCTCATAGGGCTTGTTCTCCAGACCCTTGATCATTTTAGTCGCCCTCCTCTGGACACATTCCAGCTTGTCAATATCTCTCTTGAATTGTGGTGCCCAGAATTGGACACAATATTCCAGGTGTGGTCTAACCAAAGCAGAATAGAGGGGTAGCATTACTTCCTTAGATCTAGACACTAGGCTCCTCTTGATGCAGGCCAAAATCCCATTGGCTTTTTTTGCCGCCACATCACATTGTTGGCTCATGTTTAACTTGTTGTCCACGAGGACTCCAAGATCTTCCACGAGGACTCCAAGATAATAATAATAATAATAATAATAATAATAATAATAATAATCCAGCATATAGATCTTGTTTGCTGTGACATACTGTGTTTTTGTGTCAGAATAATAAGATAATAAAAACAACAATAATAAGATAATAATACGAAGAAGAAGAAAACAACAACATACAATCGTCAAAATTCTACACTCAAAACACAAGTATGGTTTCCCCTGCCCCACCATCTCCCCATTTCCACCCGTGAACCCCCACCCATGACTTCTGACACCACCCCAAATGGAACCAGTATCTATTTTTGTCTTCTTTTTTTAAATACCCAAAGGCCGGTCTCCATTTTCTAGCCATCTTTATTTCCTCCCCTTATGCCATTGGAGATCTTGGCCATTTGGATATACTTGACTACTTTCCTTCTCCAGTCCTTAATGTTGTTGTTGTTCATTCGTTCAGTCATTTCCAACTCTTTGTGACCTCATGGACCAGCCCATGCCAGAGCTCCCTGTTGACCGTCACCACCCCCAGCTCCTTCAAGGTCAAGCCAGTCACTTAAAGGATGCCATCCCTCCATCTTGCCCTTGGTCGGCCCCTCTTGGACCTCCTGGACAAGCCCACGCCAGAGCTCCCTGTCAGCCGTCACCACCCCCAGCTCCTTCAAGGTCAATCCAGTCACTTCAAGGATGCAATACATCCACCTTGCCCTTGGTCGGCCCCTCTTCCTTTTTCCTTCCGTTTTCCCCAGCATCATTGTCTTCTCATGTTGTTGTTTATTCATTCAGTTGCTTCCAACTCTTTGTGACCTCATGGACTATCCCACGCCAGAGCTTCCTGTCGGCCGTCACCACCCCCAGCTCCTTTAAGGTCAATCCAGTCACTTCAAGGATGGCATCCTCCCACCTTGTCCTTGGTCGGCCTCTCTTCCTTTTGCCTTCCATTTTCCCCAGCATCATTGTCTTCTCTAGGCTTTCCTTTCTTCTCATGATGTGGCCAAAGTACTTCAACTTTGTCTCTAGTCTCCTTCCCTCCAATGAGCAGTCGGGTTTTCTTTCCTGAAATATGGACTGGCTGGATCTTCTCGCAGTCCAAGGCACTCTCAGAACTTTCCTCCAGCACCACAGTTAATAATAATAATTATTAATAATAATCTGTTGTTGTTCATTCATTCAGTCGTTTCTGACTCTTTGTGACCTCCTGTACCAGCCCATGCCAGAGCTCCCTGTTGGCCGTCACCACCCCCAGCTCCTTCAAGGTCAATCCAGTCACTTCAAGGATGCCATACATCCACCTTGCCCTTGGTCGGCGCCTCTTCCTTTTTCCTTCCATTTTTCCCAGCATCATTGTTTTCTCGTTGCTGTTTATTCATTCAGTCGCTTCCGACTCTTTGTGACCTTTTGGACCAGCCCATGCCAGAGCTCCCTGTCGGCCATGGCCACCCCCAGCTCCTTCAAGATCAATCCAGTTGCTTCAAGGATGGCATCCATCCACCTTGCCCTTGGTTGGCCCCTCTTCCTTTTTCCTTCCATTTTCCCCAGCATCATTATCTTCTCTAAGTATTCCTATCTTCTCATGATGTGGCCAAAGAACTTCACCTTGGCCTCCAATATCCTTCCCTCCAATGAGCAGTTGGGCTTCATTTCCTGAAGTATGGGCTGGTTGGATGTCCTTGCAGTCAAAGACACTCTCAGCATTTTCCTCCAGCCATTTTGTGTTTTGCATCTCCAACATCCCCCACTAATTGGGTTTTATCAGTCTTAGCTCCCAGAATTCCTGACCATTGTTGTTGAAAGCTTAGGAGCAGTGCAACTATTCCTGAATAACATAATCCTCTGTAGCAGGCATGGGTCAACTTGGGGCCTCCCTCCAGGTGTTTTGGACTTCAACTTCCACCATTCCTAACAGCCGCTAGGCTGTTAGGAATGGTGGGAGTTGAAGTCCAAAACACCTGGAGAGAGGTCCCAAGTTGGCCCATGCCTGGGTTAAATGATACCCTGTTTCCTGCCCAGCCGATGCCCAGGTGCGGTGCGACCAGATGACCCTCGGCCTGATGTGGGCCCAGCAGTTCCAGGACGCCAGCACCCAGCCGGGGGACATCGTGGCCTTTGACATCTACTGTGGGGACCTCAATTTCGACAACTGCTCTGAAGGTGCATTGGGGGGACATACCAGGCTGGGACACACATGTACACGTAACACAGGAATGCCTTTCTCACATGCCTCTTTCCCCTTAGGGGACGAGCTGGAGCAAAGCCACGATATCTTCACCGTGTACACGGATCCATGCCGCGTGGGGCCCCGAGAAGACAAGCCCTGGGTGATAGGTGAGTGGTCCCTGGACCCCCTCCATCTCCTTCCCCCCACTCGCCATCCCCTCCTGTGTCTCCAAGGAAGAAGGTGCAAGGAGATTTGGTCTCCAATGCGGAGCGGTGTAGCCAATGCTGATATCGAGCTAGAATTTGGAGGCTCCTGCCCAGGAGAGAAGAGCCCTTAGACCCACCAAAGAGAGTCCGAAACCCTTGGCAAGCGAAAGAGGAGAAAGGCCCAGAATTTTCCCTGATTTTTCCCAAATAAATCTCACCAAGGTTAAAGAAAAGCCATCGAGGTTTATTTAGCGATCCAGCTGGAAAGGATGCCGAGCTGCAATCATTCGCCAGCAGAGCATAAAGAAACACATTTGATACAGCCATATTTATAGTAAATTCAAAGTTGCAGAGTTCAAACTTCCCGCCCCGGCCTCACTGCCGCTCTCCTCTGCGATTGGACAATGGGTTAACAGCTGGGAGGCGGCCCTCCCGCCCCCCGACGTGCCTGGACCAATCAGGAAGCTCCAGTGGTCCGTAGGGTCCAATGGGGGGGCTCCTGCCATCTAGCGGCGATAGCAAATCAGGAAAGAGGGAGGCGGGATGATAGAACACAAAGGAATATTGTGAATGAATTCTAAAAAAAATGCCATGTGGCCTGCGAGACAAAGAGGGAGTCTCGAGCAAGCCTGATCTATTGTGTTTTGATTGGAATGAAAAAGGTCAAGGGGAAAGCCTCAGTCACAAGGAAAATCATGCATAAATGTGTGTGTCCTTGGAAGGGGATGAAAAAGGTCAAGGGAAGGCCACTAGCACAAAGGAAAATATATATAGGGTTGAACCATATGCTTATAATTCATAACAGGAAAGGTCCAAAGGATTTCACTGAGCCAGTCAAGGGAGTCCTGCAGACTTGTTCTTGGCCCTTAGAAAACGTTATTATCTCTTATGGGGGGGGGCATGCTCGGCTTCAACAGCAGGCTGTCACCACAGGGTTCTCCCAGTCCCCCATTGCTCTGTAGACCAATGTGGAGGCTTCTTCTCTTCCAAGATGGGACTTTGTCCTCCTCCCTCTTCTCCTTTGCATGCTGGCCACTGTCCTCTGGCCGTGGCACTTCCCTCTGGCCTTGCAAGTGAGGCTTGGTGGGAAGGGCTCCCTGCTCAGCTTTTGCTCCTGTCCTCCTCAGGGACCCTGATGGCCTACTTGGAGATCTATGAAGAGCCCGTGTCGACCCCGGAGAACATGAAGAGGTGAGCGAAGGGTTTGGGGAAGGGGTGCTCCCGAAAAGGCTACAAGATTTATAGGTTGTACAGTGGTCGAGAAATCAAAACATTGTATTGTCAAAGACTTTCATGGCCGGCATCACTGGGGTGATCTGTGGCTTCCAGACTGTGTGGCTGTGTTCTAGATGCCAGTTGCCACAGTTGCGGGCAAAACATCAGGAGAAAATGCTGCTAGAGCACAGTCACACAGCTTGGAAACACTCCAGTCAAAACATTATTTATTTATCTATTTATTATTCGAACTTCTATGCGGCCACTCCCCTGGGGCTCAGAGTGGCTTACAAGAACAGGCTAAAATCTAACACAATTAAAAAACAATTTAAAACAATTTAAAAAGAGCAATATCAGAGATCAAAGGCCTGTCGAAACAGGTATGTCTTCCATGCCCTGTGGAAAGCTGGTAAGTCCCGTAAGGCACGGACTTCAGGTGGCAAAGTATTCCAGAGTGATGGTGCCACTGCTGTGAAGGCTCTGCGTCTGGTTGCTGTTAGACACAAGGTCTTGACACTGGGGACTTCCAATAGATCTTGGTCCTCAGAACGGAGGGATCTCTGGGGTTGGGAGGGGGTGAGGCGGTTCCTCAGGTACATCGGCCCCAGACCATGCAAGGCCTTCAAGGTGAGTACCATCCCTTTGAAAGTGATCCAGTGCTCAATCGGTAACCAATGCAGCTGTAGTAAGATTGGGGTGATGTGGCATCTCATCGGAGTTCCCACAAGAAGCCGAGCAGCTGCGTTTTGTACCAACTTGAGCTTCCGGATCACCAACAGAGGAAGGCCAATGTAGAGGGCGTTACAGTAGTCCAGTCTTGAGATGACCGTGGCCTGGATTACCGTAGCTAGGTCGTCCCTGGACAGGGAGGGGGCCAGCCGTCTAGCCTGCCGCAGGTGAAAGAAGGCGGTTCTGCTCACGGCGGAGACCTGGGCCTCCATCCTCAGCAGAGGGTCCAAAGGGACTCCCAGACTCTTGACCAACGAGGACGGGCGTAGCGCCTCGCCATCCAGGGAAGGCAGCTGGATGTCCCCACTGCCCGGTTGACCCAGCCATAGGATCTCCGTCTTTGCTGGATTCACCCTCAACCTGCTGGCACGCAGCCATCCAGTCAGGCCTCAAGGCACTGATGGAAACAATCGGGTACAGAGTCCGGTCGGCCTTCCATCTTCAACATAAGCTGAGTGTCATCGGCGTACTGGTCACACTCAAGTCCAAAACTTTGAACCAGCTGAGCAAGGTCGCATAGAGATGTTAAACAAGAGAGGGGAGAGAATGGCCCCCTGAAGAGGAACCCCACAAGAGAGAGGGGGGGGGACCTTTCGGAGACCAGGCCTCCCCTCTCCACTCGCTGTCCATGGTTGGGAAGAAAGGAGGGGAGCCAATTATCTCATTCTCCTGTGTCTAACTTTCACATAAGAAGGACCTCAGCCAGCAAACTGCCTCCAAAACGGGTGTGCAGCTCATCCTGTCTGATATCTGCAGAAGTTAATGAGAGACGTTGTCCCAGCCTCTGCTGACCATTAGCTTCAGCTTCTGAAATACACTGAAATTCCCACTACCAGTTCATACCATTGTACCATAAACATAGAAGCACAACAGTTGGTGAATAACATAACAGTCTATAGCAAATTATGTATTATACTAGCCACCCCCTGCCACGCATTGCTGTGGCCCAGTCTGTTTATATTTATTTATTTATTTATTTATTTATTTATTTATTTATTGGCTTGTATACTGCCACTCCCAATTTGGCTCGGAGCGGTTTACAGCAGTAGATTAAAACAATACAATTCACTTTAAAATACAATAAAACAAGAACAGACCTAGTCCCGAGTTATTCACCCATATGTGTTTTCTGTGTCTATGTGTATATATGTGGTCTTGCACATGCGTTGTAATGTATTTTTGTTTTGGGGCTTTTTTAGTATTTTCTGCTGTGTTTTTCAGTGTTTTCCAGTGTGATGGTCACTTGTTGGCCTGAGAGGTGTCTTATGTCCAAATTTTGTGTCAGTTCGTCCAGTGGTTTTTGAGTTATGTTCATCCCACAAACGAACATTACATTTTTATTTATATAGATATCAAGCATGAATAATATAACACTATGTAACAAGCTACATATTATAATTCAAGCACAAGTTAACGATATGATATAATATTGTCCTACACAGAATATGGCAGGTCCTCATTAAGCTTCTCATGGGGGCCATTAGGGAGGTCTTCCCACCCCACCTGAGTCTCAGTCTTTGGCCTCCTTGCAGGACTTTGGAGCAGCCGGATGGACGCAAGAAGTTCCTGGCCGGGCCGGTGTTGGCGGATGGGCAGCCGGACCCCTCGGCCACTGGGTGTGAAGGCCGGCGCCTGGACTACATCCTGTACCGGGAGCACCCTGGCTCTCTGGGCCTTAGAACGGTCAGTGTGGGAGCCCTGGTTGTGTGGGTGGGTGAGCAAGGAATGAAATGGCTTGAATGTTATGGCTTGAGAGCAGAGAAAGAGTGCAGGAGGTGGGTCAGGCCAAAGCAGGTAGCAGGATCCTATTCCTTCAGTGGACAAAGAGCAACCCCAGTTGCATTTGGATCACACAATGGCAGAGCTTGAAGGGTACGCAGGAGCCAACTGCTAGAATACTCTTGAGAGTGGCCCTTCCAAACATGGTCCGAAGATCTTCTAAGAAGTGCAGGTTCCAGGACAGAATTAGTTCATCATTGAATGGATTATATATGCTATAAATGGGATGTATTTTTTAGGACAGGATTAAGGGGTAGACTAGACATAGGCAAACTGTGTTAAGAGTTCAGGTTCATCTTGTTTATTACCAGCCCTAATTGTTGATTTGTGGAGACCCTAAGCCAGTCATGGGCAAACTTGGGCCCTCCAGGTGTTTTGATCTTAGACTCCCACGATTCGTGTTAAGAGTTCAGGTTCATCTTGTTTATTACCAGCCCTAATTGTTGATTTGTGGAGACCCTGAGCCAGGCATGGGCAAACTTGGGCCCTCCAGGTGTTTTGGACTTGGAGACTCCCACCATTTGTGTTAAGAGTTCAGGTTCATCTTGTTTATTACCAGCATTAATTGTTGATTTGTGGAGACCCTAAGCCAGGCATGGGCAAACTTGGGCCCTCCAGGTGTTTTGGACTTAGACTCCCACCRTTCGTGKTAAGAGTTCAGGTTCATCTTGTTTATTACCARCCCTAATTGTTGATTTGTGRAKRCCCTAAGCCAGGCATGGGCAAAYTTGGGCCYTCCWGGTSTTTKGRACTTARACTCCCACCRTTCGTGTTAAGAGTTCAGGTTCATCTTGTTTATTACCARCCCTAATTGTTGRTTTGTGGAKRCCCTRAGCCAGGCATGGGCAAAYTTGGGCCYTCCAGGTSTTTKGGACTTARACTCCCACCATTTGTGTTAAGAGTTCAGGTTCATCTTATTTATTACCAGCCCTAATTGTTGATTTGTGGAGACCCTAAGCCAGGCATGGGCAAACTTGGGCCCCCCAGGTGTTTTGGACTTAGACTCCCACCATTCGTAGCAGCCTACCGGCTGTTACGAATGGTGGGAGTCTAAGTCCAAAACACCTGGAGGGCCCAAGTTTGCCCATACCTGGAGTAGACCAAGGCAGGCCCAGCTCCACTACTCAGGAAAGGCAGTGCCAGGTGGTGGAGCAGAGGTTGTTTTGCTGGATGCGGCTTACCATTCTAGATAAGATGATTAAATACTCATCTAGGAAAGAAAGTGCTTGCTACCCGGAACCACTGTGGGTTTCTGTTGTATAGTCCTTTGGCCTTGTGGAAAGTCCAGTTGTATTTGTGGGTGGCATAAAACTGAGTGGGAGGCCAAGGAGAGTCCAGGGTCCAAAGGATCGTGCCACACCTGGAAGGGCTGGGTCTAAGCCACAAGGTGGAAATCAGCAGACATAAAGGGACAAGCCTGGGAACAAGAATGAGGAGGGCACAGGTCCACGTGGAAAGGGACCCTAGGGTCACAGTCTGAAAGTGATCCAGTCTGAAGGCTGGCGACATTCACAGGGACCAAGGGTTTGGGGTCAAGAGAACACGTTGGTTCATTTGAAGCAGTAGGTCGGGTTCTGGGATCATGTCTATCCAGTCTGTGCCCCAAGAAGAGGGTCTGGAGGACGAGGGGCTTGGAAGTGAAACTGAGGAAAGGTTGCAGGAGCTGGAAGAGAAAACATAAAGGAAGGATTTAAGGCAGGGATGGACCAACTTGGGCCCTCCCTCCAGCTGTTTTGGACTTTAAAGTCCCATCATTCCTCACAGACTGTTAGGAATTGTGGGAGTTGAAGTCCAAAACATCTGGAGGGAGGGCCCAAGTTGGCCCATGCATGGTTTGAGGGATATAGTGTTCTTTCAGGCCATGTTCTTAGGCGGAAGAGGGAGATGGGAGCCTTGGGAGATTTATATGAAAGGACCCTCTCCTCTGCTCAGGAGAAAGTGAGCAATCTCTCACTCAGGTGGAGAGTCTCCTCGCGGAGAGAAAAAGCAGGGGATCAATAAGCATAAACAATTCAAAGTGCTGACTTTAACTTATAAAGCCCTAAATAGTTCTGGCCCAGCTTACCATACGAACCATCTAGGACCTTGAGATCTTCTGGGGAGGCCCTGCTCTCGGTTCCGCCTTCTTTGTAGATTCGGTTGGCGGGAACAAGAGACAGGGTCTTCTCAGCGGTGGCCCCTCGGCTGTGGGACGCCCTCCCTGGGGACATCAGATTGGCCCCCACCCTCTCAATATTTCGCAAAAAAGTTAAAACCTGGCTTTTTGAGCAAGTTTTCCCAAATGCAGCATAGGAGACAAACTCTGATCTTTGGAACGACTGGACAGTGCGATTGGATAATGATTTTAGTAATGAGATGCGGAGGATCTATATTTTTATTGGTTTTATTGTTTTATTTAGAATCCTAGAATCAAAGAGTTGGAAGAGACCTCCTGGGCCATCATCCAGTCCAACCCCATTCTGCCAAGAAGCAGGAATATTGCATTCAAAGCACCCCTGACAGATGGCCATCCAGCCTCTGTTTCAAAGCCTCCAAAGAAGGAGCCTCCACCACACTCTGGAGCAGAGAGTTCCACTGTTGAATGGTTCTCACAGTCAGGAAGTTCTTCCTCATGTTCAGGTGGAATCTCCTCTCTTGTAGTTTGAAGCCATGGTTCCCTTGCGTCCTAGTCTCCAGGGAAGCAGAAAGGAAGCTTTCTCACTCCTCCTCCCTGTGGCTTCCTCTCACATATTTATACATGGCTGTCACATCTCCTCTCAGCCTTCTCTTCTTCAGGCTAAACATGCCCAGCTTCTTAAGCCGCTCCTCATAGGGCTTGTTCTCCAGACCCTTGATCATTTCAGTTGCCCTCCTCTGGACTTTAATAAGAAATATTATTTTTTTTCCCTATGATTAGTGGCTTAAAGAGTTGGGCATGTTTAGCCTGCAGAAGAGAAAGCTGAGAGGAGACATGATAGCCATGTATAACTATGTGAGAGGGAAGTCCTAGGGAGGAGGGAGCAAGCTTCCTTTCTGCTTCCTTGGAGACTAGGACGTAATGGAGCAATGGCTTCAAACTACAGGAAAGGAGATTCCACCTGAACATCAGGAAGAACTTCCTGACTGCGAGAGCTGTTCAGCAGTGGAACTCTCTGCCCTGAAGTGTGGTGGAGGTTCCTTCTTTGGAGGCTTTGAAGCAGAGGCTGGATGTCAGGGGTGCTTTGAATGTGATTTTCCTGCTTCTTGGCAGAATGGGGTTGGACTAAATGGCCCTTGAGGTCTCTTCCAACTCTAGGATTGTATGATTCTATATTTTCGGTGAGCCTGAGTGCCCACTGCTAACATGGCAGAGTGCTCTCGATGTTGCGTTGAATCGAGCAACGAGAGGAGGAAAGGCATTGGGTGAACATCCCGGTATCTACGAGAGGGTCCACTGCAAGGGTCCACAATTCCATCAAGTAGCAGGCAAACCGTGGTGTGGGCCAGGCAACTTCTGGGGCATGAGAGGGCCTCCTTCCTGCCTGCCTCGCCATGTCCCTCCTCTTTGCTTGCAGGCTGTGGAGAAGGTCTCCTTCATCACCCAGCTGGCCACCTGCTCTGACCACCTGCCCTTTGGCCTGCGCCTCCACGTGACCCCCACCATGCATGCCGAAGAAGCCTGAACTCTGCCTGCCCCCAGGAGGCAAAGAAGATGACTCTGGGGAGCTGGGACCCCCCCTCTGAACGCCCTGCCATTGGGGGCCCAGAGGAGCGCCCGGCCCAGAGGGGGGCCTCACGGGTTCCATGTGGGGCGGAAGGAAACGGAAGGGCAGCAAATACTGCATCTGCCAGCTCCCTTCAGCTCTGGGGGGCCAAGGCAGGACGGAGGGACCCCCCTGCACTGACCTCCCCATCCCTTCTGATGTCCAAAGGCTGCCCCTCTGCTCCCATTGCCCCAGAGAAGGGTCTGGGGGCTCACTTTGTGCACCCCCTACAGTGGGGCCCCTCAACGTGGCGCTCAATGGAAAAGATCAAGGGATAACCAATGACCCCCTTCCTTCCTTCCTTCCCCCCTTTCCTTTGGTGGGGACTCTCAAGCGCCACGGAACACCCTTTTTGCAGGAACCAAATATTTCTCACCAAGTGGACTTCTCAGTTTTGTACACCTTGTTCCAAAGTTGTCTGCCGCCAAAGATAAGATGGCCAGCAGAGTATTGTTTCCTCTGCAAAAGGGACAGGAGCAAATGGAAGGGCTGCAAACAGAGCGTCTGCCAGCTCCCTTCAGCCCTGAGGGGCCAAGGCAAGACGGAGGGGCCCTTGGGGACCACACTGACCCCCCTGCACTAGCCTTCCCATCCCTTCTGATGTCCAAAGGCTCTCTTTTGCTTGCAGCCCTTTGCTCCTCCTCTGCTCCCTTTGTCCCAGAGGAGGGTCTGGGGGCTCACTTTGTGCCCCCCCCCTGTAGTGGGGCCCCTCACCGTGGCGCTCAATGGAAAGGATCAAGGGATAGCCAATGACCCCCTTCCTTCCTTCCTTCCTTCCTTTGGGGGGAGGGGGACTCTCAAGCGCCAAGGAACACCCTTTTTGCAGGAACTGAACATTTCTCACCAAGTGGACTTCTTAGTTTTGTACGTCTTGTTCCAAAGTTGTCAGCTGTCAAAGATAAGAGTATTGTTTCCTCTCGTTCAAACAATAGAGGCGAAAAGGAATCTCTGTGTGTGATTTGTGCATTTCGTCACACCTGTATACATTCCTCAGGGATTTGCGAAGAGAAGGCCACACCGGACGCAGAGCCCTGTCCATTCATCAATCCCATTGTGCACAGGATGCAACGGGCGCCATTGATGCAAGGGGAGCTCAAAATTCTCCCCAGGGTGAGGTTGGCACAGTTCCCGCCATTCACCTGTGCCCAGTCGGCAGGTGCATAAAGTGCCCAGAGGGGAACTGGTTTGGAACTGGTATTTGCTGCCTGAAAAGTCTGCCCTGATCTTGATTCCAGCACAAAGCATTTGTGCAATTTGCCAGTGGTCAGCCAGGCGAGGAGGCCTCTCTCGGATGGCGGTTGAAACTGACCACAGAGGCCAGGGTCTCACTGAGCGGGAGCCATGTGGGGTCGGGGGGAGAGGGGAGGGCAATCTTGCACTCCAGATCAGGAAGAAGCCCTCTGACTTTAAAACACACCACACTAAAAGTGAAGAAACAAATCTTCTTTTATTGAAGCTTAGTAAATAGCCAGAAGAAATAAATGCTTGTAAGAAAATAAGAAGGTTCCAAAAAAATAACAAGTCCATAAAAAGCAGTAACACAGAGCAATGTCCACACAAGTAATAAAAGCAATCCAAGACACCATTAATCCAGACAGGAATCAACAGGATGCAAAGACAATCCAAAAGGCTAAAAAAACTCCTCAGGAACAAGACCCCTTGAACAGGATTTCCATAGCACATGAACTTGGTTTCCAAACGATGCCTGATCTAACAGGTTTTCCCTTGAGGCAAACCTTATATCCCAAAACTCAGAAATTGGTTTAGCTTCCCCCCACATTTCCCCCTTATCAGACGAAGCCTTTCGGAGCGATGTAAACACTGAGTTTGCTGTTGATCCTGGCTAATCTCCAGCCGCCTATTCTTCAATTTCCTATCTGGCTTCTCATTAAAATTCCCAGGTGTCAGATTGTTTTCCAAACCTAAATCTTGAGAGCTTACACAGAGAGGGAGTGAACCATCATCCCTAGGCCCAGCAGGGATATTCTCATGAGAAACTGCCCTTTGCAAGGGGGCCTCTCTGTCATTGCCTGCATGAAAATCATTGACCAAACCATCTCCATCTTGTACCTCAGCCTCTGCACCATCATTTCCCTCATGATTTCCCACATCATTTCCCACATCACTTCTCTCAAAATCCTGAAACACAAACACAGGATGATTCCCAACAGGCGAGGGCACAGCATAAGGAGTGGTCATCACCCTGCTCCTCATGTCCATCTGATCTGGCCCTCTCTGAGAGGGAGACACAGACAGAGCTCACAATAACTACCCCATTTCACCACATAATAGCCATCACCACATAGCCCAGGAAGAAGTAAGGCAGTGCGGGCAAACTTGGGACCTCTTTCCAGGTGTTTTTCCGTCTTTCTTATGGTCCACAGGCCCAGTTTGCTCAGTGGAAAACATAAAGCAGATTCATAAACTGGTTAGACCACTTAAATTAGCATTTCTCAACCTGGGGGGGGGGGGTCGTGAGGGGGTGTCAGAGGGGTCACCAAACACCATCAGAAAACACAGTAATTTTTGTTGTTGTTGTTGTGGGGATTCTCCGTGGGAAGTTTGGCCCAATTCTATCATTGTTGGGGTTCAGAATGCTCTTTGATTGCAGGTGAACTATAAATCCCAGCAACTACAACTCACAAATATTAAGGTCTATTTTCCCCAAACTCCACCAGTGATCACATTTGGGCATATTGAGTATTCGTGCCAACTTTGATTGAGATTCATCAGTATTTGAGTCCACAGGGCTCTCTGGATAGAGGTGAACTAGAACTCCAAAACTCAAGCTTAATGCCCACCAAAACCTTCCAGTATTTTCTGTTGGTCATGGGAGTCCTGTGTGCCAAGTTTGGTTCAATTCCATCTTTGGTGAAATTCAGAATGCTCTTTGATTGTAGGTGAACTATAAATCCCAGCAACTACAACTCCCAAATGTCAATGTCTATTTTCCCCAAACTTCACCAGTGTTCACATTTGGGCATATTGAGTATTTGTGCCAAGTTTGGTCCAGATCCATCATTGTTTGAGTCCACCTTGCTCCCTGGATGTAGGTGAACTACAACTCTAAAACTCAAGGTCAGTGCCCACCAAACCCTTCCAGTATTTTCTCTGTGTTGTGGGAGTTCTGTGTGCCAAGATTGGTTCAATTCCATTGTTGGTGGAGTTCAGAATGCTCTTTGATTGTAGGTGAACTATAAATCCCAGCAACTACAACTCCTAAATGGCAAAATCAATCCCCTCCCAACCCCACAAGTATTCAAATGTGGGTGTATTGGGTATTTATGCCAAATTTGGTCCAGTGAATGAAAATACATCCTGCATATCAGATATTGATGTGACGATTCAGAACAGGAGCAAAATGAGTTATGTGGGGTCACCACAACATGCAGAACTGTATTAAGGGGTCACAGTATTGGGAAGGTTGGGAAAGACTGACTTCAAAGGACGAGTGCAATTCTAGATGCGTATGAACACGGGTAAAAACACTGCAAAAATATACAAGTTTCAACCTCCTTTTTCTTTATCTCCTTTTTCTCTCATTCCTTCCTTCCTTCCTTCCTTTGTTTTTTCCTTCCATCCTCTCTTTCCTTCCCTCCCTCTTTCTTTCCTTCTTTCCCTCCTTCCTTCGCTCCCTCTTTCCTTCCTTCCCTTTTATTCTTTCCTTCCTTCTCTACATGTCCTTCCTTCCCTCCTTTTTCTTTATCTCTTTTTTCTCTCATTTCTTCCTTCCCTACTTCCTTCCTTCCTTTGTTTTATGCTTCCATCCTCTCTTTCCTTCCCTCCCTCTTTCCTTCTTTCCCTCCTTCCTTCTCTCCTTCCTTCCTTCTCTGCCTTTCCTTCCATCCCCCTTTTTTCTTTATCTCTTTTTTCACTCATTTCTTCCTTCCCTCCTTCCTTCCTTCCTTTGTTTTTTGCTTCCATCCTCTCTTTCCTTCCTCCCTCTTTCTCTCTTTTCCCTTTCCTTCCCTTCCTCTCTTTCCTTCCCTTTTTCTTCCTTCTCTCCTTCCTTCCTTCTCTACCTTTCCTTCCTTCCCCCCTTTTTCTTTATCTCTTTTTTCTCTCATTTCTTCCTTCCCTACTTCCTTCCTTCCTTTGTTTTATGCTTCCATCCTCTCTTTCCTTCCCTCCCTCTTTCCTTCTTTCCCTCCTTCCTTCGATCCCTCTTTCCTTCCTCCTTTTTATTCTTTCCTTCTCTCCTTCCTTCTTTTTCTACATTTCCTTCCTTCCCTCCTTTTTCTTTATCTCTTTTTTCTCTCATTTCTTCCTTTCTTCCCTACTTCCTTCCTTTGTTTTTTGCTTCCATCCTCTCTTTCCTTCCCTCTTTCTCTCTTTTCCCTCTTTCCTTCGCTCCCTCTTTCCTTCCCCTTTTTCTTCTCTTCTTCCTTCCTTCTCTACCTTTCTATCCTTCCTTCCCCCCTTTTTCTTTATCTCTTTTTTCTCTCATTTCTTCTTTTGTCTTTTTGCTTCCATCCTCTTTTTCTCTCCCTCCCTCTTTCTCTCCTTCTTTCCCTCCTTCCTTTGCTCCCTCTTTCCTTCTTTCCCACCCTTGAGTTAAACTTTAGCCAAGATGTTTTACCAGTTTTTTGTGCAAGGACACGTGACTTCCTCCAAGCGTGCTCTGGGCCAGCACCGCATCGACACACGCCGGGACACGCTCCGCCTCCAATGCCTGCGGCTCTGTGCTTGTTTTGTGTGTCTCCGGCTGCAGCTGCACATGGGGGCAACCAGGAAAACATGCCCCCTCCTGCCAGCCCTCTACCCCCCACATTGCAGCAATGCTACATGTGCACCACGGGGTGTTGTGGACCATCCTCCAAAAAATCGGGTGCCCAAACAAATTTGTGAACATCCTGCGGCTCCTCCATGATGACATGATGGCAACAGTCTTGGACAGCAGTGGCTCCCAAAGTGACCCATTTAAGGTGGAATCAGGTGTCAAACAGGGATGTGTTATTGCCCCAACTCTATTCTCCATCTTCATCGCTATGGTACTTCACCTTGTTGATGGGAAGCTTCCCACCGGAGTGGAAATCATCTATCGGACAGATGGCAAGCTATTCAACCTCAGCAGACTGAAAGCCAAAACCAAGGTTACAACAACATCTGTTATAGAACTCCAGTATGCTGATGACAATGTCATCTGTGCGCATTCAGAAGAAGATCTACAAGCCACTATAAACACCTTTGCAGAAGCATACGAGAAGCTCGGCCTGTCATTGAATATTGATAAAACCAAAGTGCTCTTCTAGCAGTCACCAGCCAATCCCTCTCCAATGCCAGAAATACAGCTTAATGGTGTAACATTAGAAAATGTTGACCATTTCCGCTCCCTTGGCAGCCACCTCTCCACCAAAGTCAACATCGACACCGAAATACAACACCGCCTGAGCTCTGCAAGCGCAGCATTTTTCTCTGCAAGCAGAGAGTGTTTGAGGACCGGGACATCCGTAGGGATACCAAGGGGCTTGTTTATAAAGCTATTGTCCTCCCAACCTTGCTATACGCCTGTGAAACGTGGACTGTCTCCAGATGTCAACATTGAGACTGAAATACAACACTGCCTGAGCTCTGCGAGTACAACATTCTTCTGAATGAAGCAGAGAGTGTTTGAGGACCGGGACATCCGTAGGGATACCAAGGGGCTTGTTTATAAAGCTATTGTCCTCCCAACCTTGCTATACGCCTGTGAAACGTGGACTGTCTCCAGATGTCAACATTGAGACTGAAATACAACACTGCCTGAGCTCTGCGAGTACAACATTCTTCTGAATGAAGCAGAGAGTGTTTGAGGACCGGGACATCCGTAGGGATACCAAGGTGCTTGTTTATAAAGCTATTGTCCTCCCAACCCTGCTATATGCCTGTGAGACGTGGACTGTCTACAGACATCACATGCAACTCCTGGAACGATTCCATCAGCGCTGCCTCTGGAAAATCCTGCAAATCTCTTGGGAAGACAGGCGACAAACGTCAGCGTGCTGGAAGAAGCAAAGACCACCAACATTGAAGCGATGGTCCTCCGCCATCAACTCCGCTGGACCGGCCATGTTGTCCAGATGCTAGACCACCGTCTCCCAAAGCAGTTGCTCTACTCCGAACTCAAGAACAGAAAATGGAATGTTGGTGGACAGGAAAAGAGATTTAAAGATGGGCTCAAAGCCAACCTTAAAACTCTGGCATAGACACTGAGAACTGGGAAGCCCTGGCGCTTGAGCGCTCCAGCTGGAGGTCAGCTGTGACCAGCAGTGCTGCAGAATTTGAAGAGGCACGAATGGAGGGTGAAAGAGAGAAACGTGCCAAGAGGAAAGCGTGTCAAGCCAACCCTGACCGGGACCGCCTTCCACCTGGAAACCAATGCCCTCACTGGGGAAGAAGATGCAGAGCAAGAATAGGGCTCCACAGCCACATACGGACCCACAAGAATATTGGAAGACAATCCTCCTCGGAAAGCGAGGAATCGCCTAAGTAAGTAAGTGTGGTTTCCAGGCTGTATGGCCATGTTTTAGCACAGGCATGGGCAAACTTCGGCCCTCCGGGCGTTTTGGACAGGGAAAAGGGAAGAATTGCAGGAACCAGGAGTCCAAAACATAGTGGGGGGCTAACCCAGGACCTACTCTTCTCAAGGGACCCCGACAGAGGCCAGCAGCCCCTCATCTTCCCCTGCTAAATAGGGGTCTTCCTCCTGTCCCCTGCTGGTGCAAGACTCCCTCCAGCCTCACACACTCTCCCTTTTTCGCACATGGGAGTCATGCTTCCATGTGCTGAGCACGCCTGCTCTCCCCTCCCCACTTGGAATCTCAGAAACAGCCCTCCCCTTGGCTGAGATGCCGGCCAATCACAGCAGAGGAGTGCTTCAGCCTTCTTTCTCAAAGGGGTTCCTAAAATCACTTGCGGGTTGCGGCCCCTCTCAAACCTCCTCACGACCCTCCCAGAGGTCGCAACCCCCAAGTAGAGGTACGCCAGGCATTGACCTTGAATTTGGGAGTTGTAGTTCACTTCACCTACATCCAGAGAGCACTGTGGACTCAAACAATGAAGGATCTGGATCAAACTTGGCACCAATACTCAATATGCCTAAATGTGAACACTGGTGGTGTTTGGGGGAAATAGACCTTGACATTTGGGAGTTGTAGTTGCTGGGATTTATAGCTCACCTGCAATCAAAGAGCATTCTGAACCTCACCAATGATGGAATTGAACCAAACGTGGCACACAGGACTCCCACGACGAACAGAAAATACTGGAAGGGTTTGGTGGGCACTGACCTTGAGTTTGGGAGTTGCAGTTCACCTACATCCAGGGAGAACGGTGGACGCAAGCAACATCCAGACCAAACTTGGCATGAATACTCAATCTGCCAAATGTAAACACTGGTGGAGTTTGGGGAAATAGATCTTGACATTTGGGAGTTGTAGTTTCTGGGATTTATAGTTCACCTACAATCAGAGAGCATTCTGAATTCCACCAACGATGGAATTGAACCAAACTTGGAACACAGTTCTCCCACGACCAACAGAAAATAGTGGAATGGTTTGATGGGCACTGACCTTTTGGAGTTGTAGTTCATCTACATCCAGAGAGCACTGTGGACTCAAACAATGATGGATCTGGACCAAATATGGCACAGATACTCAATATGCCTAAATGTGGACACTGGTTGTTTGGAGAAAATAGACCTTGACATTTGGGAGTTGTAGTTGCTGGGATTTATAGCTCACCTGCAATCAAAGAGCATTCTGAACCTCACCAATGATGGAATTGAACCAAACGTGGCACACAGGACTCCCACGACGAAGAGAAAATACTGGAAGGGTTTGGTGGGCACTGACCTTGAGTTTGGGAGTTGTAGTTCACCTACATCCAGGGAGAACGGTGGATGCAAGCAACATTTAAGCAGAGGCTGGATGGCCATCTGTCAGGGGTGATTTGAATGCAATATTCCTGCTTCTTGGCAGGGGGTTGGACTGGATGGCCCATGAGGTCTCTTCCAACTCTTTGATTCTAGGATTCTATGATCCAGACCAAACTTGGCATGAATACTCAATCTGCCAAATGTAAACACTGGTGGAGTTTGGGGAAATAGATCTTGACATTTGGGAGTTGTAGTTGCTGGGCTTTATAGTTCACCTACAATCAGAGAGCATTCTGAATTACACCAATGATGGAATTGAACCAAACTTGGAACACAGTTCTCCCACGACCAACAGAAAATACTGGAAGGGTTTGATGGGCACTGACCTTGAGTTTTGGAGTTGTAGTTCATCTACATCCAGAGAGCACTGTGGACTCAAACAATGAGGGATCTGGACCAAATATGGCACAGATACTCAATATGCCTAAATGTGGACACTGGCTGTTTGGAGAAAGTAGACCTTGACGTTTGGGAGTTGTAGTTGCTGGGATTTATAGTTCACCTACAATCAAAGAGCATTTTGCACCCCACCAACGATAGAATTGGGCCAAACTTCCCACACAGAACCTCCACCCCTTCAAAATAAAGACTCTCGTACTGGTCCTGAATGGTTTTATTACCCCTTCAACATGGAAGCGATGCGACAAACTGGGGAGCAGATGCCACTGCTTGCTACCGTTGACATTCCTGTGGAGTGTTTAGCAAGAAGGAAAGCATGGATGAAACAGAGGCAGTGTGGCGAGAAGAAAGAGGAGGAAGAAGAAGAGGAGGAGGAAGGCACAGGACCGCCAGCATGAAGAAGAGCCTCAAACCTTCTAGGAAGTCCAGACTGACCATAATGGAGAAAAGACACAAACACATGGACAGATGGGCAGGCAAACTTCTGACCATCCCAACTTTGGACCCTGCTGTCCTCTTGTGGCCAAACATAGATCTGCTCCTTCTCCTGTCCACCATCCAGCCAAATTCCTTTGGCCTTCCTCTTCTGAAGCCCCCATTCCTGCCCAAGGAAGCAGCCCCATGGAGACCCATGGCAGGAAGAGCTGGGTCAAGGGGCTGCTATGGGGTCTTCCTTCCACCTGCCCCAACACCAAGACTTCCATCCCCTCTTCACCCAGAGTCCCAGCAACCAACGGATCAGGGCTTCTCTCATGTGAGGAGTCTCTTGTGGCCTTCAGGCCATCTCCTGGACCAGGCGGAAATCAAAGAGGCTTCCTCGCTCCAAAAAGCGCCGTTCTGGAAGTGGGGCCAGGAGTGCCGGGGAGCAGAGCTGGGGGGCAGAAGGAGGTCCGAAGCCCCCTCCACCGGGGGTCTGCAGGCAGAAGATGTCCTAAAAGGAGAGAAAAGGGAAGCATCCAGAGAGGTCAATGTTGGGTTCGGCCAAGGGACAAACCATCACCCTTGTTCTCCTGCCCCCTCCCAAGACTATTGTCTATACAAGATATTATTGTATTGTCGAAAGCTTTCATGACTGGAATCACTGGGTTGTTGTAGGTATTTTCAGGCTATATGTCCATGTTCTAGAAGCATTCTCTCCTGACGTTTCGCCTGCATCTATGGCAAGCATCCTCAGAGGTTGTGAGACCTCGCAATCTCTGAGGATGCTTGTTGTAGATGCAGGCGAAATGTCAGGAGAGAATGCTTCTAGAACATGGACATATAGCCCAAAAAAGCTACAAAAACCCAGATACTATTATTATCATTATCATTATTATGTTTATGTTTATTTAAACCCCACTCTTCTCTCCACAAGGAGACTCAAAGTGGGAGGGGAAATAGGTAGAGGAAGGAGGAAGGGGAAGGAGGAGGAAAGAGGAGGAGGAAGGGGTGGGGCAGAGAAATGAGGTAGAAGAAGGAAGTATGGGAAGGGGGGTAGGGGAAGCAGGAGGAAGGAGATAGAGGAAGAAGGAGGTAGAGGGAGGAGTAAGAGGAGTTGGAGGAGGCTACGGGAAGGAGGTCGGGAAAAGGAGGAGGAGACTACGGAGTAGGGGAGGTAGGGAAGGAAGAAGGTGAAGAAGAAAAGGGGAGGAAGAAGTAGGGAAAGGGTGAGATAAGGAAGCAAGTAGAGGAAGGGGGAGGAAGGGGAAAGAGGCAGAGGAAGGAGGAAGGGTAAGAGGAGGTGGGAAAGAGGCGGGTAGGGGAAGGTGGAAGAAGGAAGTATGGGAAGGGGGTAAGGGAAGCAGAAGGAGGAAGGAGATAGAGGAAGAAGGAGGTAGAGGGAGGAGTAAGAGGAGTAGAAGGTTACGGGAATGTCGGGGAAAGGGGGAAGAGATAGTGGAGCAAATCGAGAAAAGAGGAGGAAGGGGAAAGAGGAGGTAGGGGAAGCAAGTCAAGAAAAGAGGAAGTAGGTGATGCAGGAAGTAGGGAAAAAAGGAGATAGGGGGAGGTAGGGGTAGGAGGTGGGAAAAGAAGGATGTAGGGGAAGCAGACAGAGGAAGGAAGGAGAAAGGGTATAATAGAGTTGGTAGTTGGTAGTCCCCTGGACTAGGAAGTAGGGGAGGTAGGGAAGGAGAAAGGTGAAAGAGGAAAGGGGAGGAGGAAGTAGGGAAAGATAAGGAAGCAGGTAGAGGAAGGGGAAAGAGGCAGAGGAGGGAGAAAGGAGAAGAGGAGGTGAGGGAGGAAGAAGGGGGCAGGGGAAAGTGGATGGATGCAAAGAAGGAAGGGTGGAGGTAGGGAAAGGCAGTTGGGGAAGGGGAGGAAGGGGAAACAGAGGAAAGGAGGGAAGGGGAAGGAGAATTAGGGGAAGGGAGAGTTACAGGAAAGGAGGTAGGAGAAGGGGAGGTAGAGGAAACAGGTAGAGGAAGGAGGAAAGGGATGGGGGACAGAAGAGAGGGGGACAGAAGTGAAGGGAGAGGTTCTGGAAAAAGAAGCAGGAAGGAGTTAGAGGAAGGAGGTAGGAGAAGGAGTAAGAGAGGGAGCTTGGGGGAGGAAGGGATGGAAAAGTTGATGGGGAAGGAGGGGAAGATAGGGTTACAGGCAGGAGGAGGAAGGGGAGGAAGGCAGTAGGGAAAGGAGGAGGAGGCAAGGAGGAGGTAGGGGAAGCAGACAGGAAAGGAGGAGAAAGGGAAAGATAGGGGAGGTAGGAAAGGAGGAAGGTGAAGGGAAAGGGCAAGATAGGGAAGCAGGTAGAGGAAGGAGGAAGGGGAAGGAGGAGGTGGAGAAGAAAGGGGTAGGGAAAGGTGGATGGAGGCAAAGAAGGAAGGATGGTGGTAGGGAAAGGCGGTAGGGGAAGGGGTGGGGAAAACAGGGAGAGGAAAGGAGGGAAAGGGATGGAGAAGTAGGGGAGGGGAGAGGTACAGGAAAGAGAAACAGGAAGGAGATAGAGAAAGGAGAAAGGGGAAGTTAGGGGAAGGGGTAGGGAAAAGAGGAAGGGGGGATATAGGGAAGTAAGTAGAGAAAGCAGGAGTTAGGGGATGAAGGAAGTAGGGAAAGGAGGATATAAGGGTAGGAGAAGGAGGAGGCAAGGCAAGGGGGGTTAGGGGAAGCAGGAAAGGAGGAGAAAGGGAACGATAGGGGAGGTAGGAAAGGAGGAAGGTGAAGGAAAAGGGTGAGATAGGCAAGCAGGTAGAGGAAGGAGGAAAGGGAAGGAGGAGGTGGAGAATAAAGGGGTAGGGAAAGGTGGATGGAGGCAAAGAAGGAAGGATGGTGGTAGGGAAAGGGGGTGGGGAAAACAGGGAGAGGAAAGGAGGGAAAGGGATGGAGAAGTAGGGGAGGGGAGAGGTACAGGAAAGAGAAACAGGAAGGAGATAGAGAAAGGAGAAAGGGGAAGTTAGGGGAAGGGGTAGGGAAAAGGGGGAGGGGATATAGGGAAGCAAGTAGAGAAAGCAGGAGGTAGGGGATGAAGGAAGTAGGGAAAGGAGGATATAGGGGTAGGAGAAGGAGGAGGCAAGGCAAGGGTGAGGAAGGGGATGCAGGCAGGAAAGGAGAAGAAACGGAAAGATAGGGTAGGTAGGAAAGGAGGAAGGGAAAGGGTGAGATAGGGAAGCAGGTAGAGGAAGGAGAGGAAGGAAGTAGGGAAAGGGGGAGATGGGGGATATAGGGGTAGGAGAAGGAGGAGGCAAGGCAAGGGTGAGGTAGGGGATGCAGATAGGAAAGGAGGAGAAAGGGAAAGTTAGGGGAGGTAGGAAAGGAGGAAGGTGAAGGGAAGGAGTGAGAAGGAGGAGCAGGTAGAGGAAGGAGAAGGAGGAAGTGAAGAAGAAAGGGATAAGGAAAGGTGGACGAAGGAAGGGAGGTGGTAAGGAAGAGGAGGTAGGGGAAACAGGTAGAGGAAAGGAGGGGAGGAATAACAAGGGGAGGGGAGAGGTACAGGAAAGAGAAACGGGAAGGAGATAGAGAAAGGACTAAGGGGAAGTTAGGGGTAGGGAAAAGGGGAGGGGGGGATATAGGGAAGCAAGTAGAGAAAGCAGGAGGTAGGGGATGAGGGAAGTAGGGAAAGGAGGATATTGGGGTAGGAGGAGGAGGCAAGGGTGAGTTAGATGATGCAGATAGGAAAGGAGGAGAAAGGGAAAGTTAGGGGTGGTAGGAAAGGAGGAAGGTGAAGGGAAAGGGTGAGAAGGGGATGCAGGTAGAGGAAGGAGGAAGTGAAGAAGAAAGGGGTAGGGAAAGGTGGATGAAGGAAGGGTGGTGGTAGGGAAAGGCAATAGGGGAAGAGGAGGTAGGGGAAACAGGTAGAGGAAAGAAGGGGAGGAATAAGTAGGGGAGGGGAGAGGTACAGGAAAGAGAAACGGGAAGGAGATAGAGAAAGGAAGTAGGGAAAGGGGGAGATGGGGGATATAGGGGTAGGAGAAGGAGGAGGAGGCAAGGCAAGGGTGAGGTAGGGGATGCAGATAGGAAAGGAGGAGAAAGGGAAAGTTAGGGGAGGTAGGAAAGGAGGACTAATGGGAAACTAGGGGTAGGGAAGAGGGGAGGGAATATAGGGAAGCAAGTAGAGAAAGTAGGTAGGGGATGAAGGAAGTGGGGAAAGGAGGAGGAAGGGGTAGGAGGTAGGAGAAAGAGGAGGTAGGAGAAGGTCAGGCGACCATTGATGGCAGGAAGGACAGCAATTGACCAAGACCACAGGGCCCTCCCCATTGAGAGATGGGAAGGATGGGAAGGATGGATGCTCACCCCAGGGAACACTGTGACGGAGGTCTTTCCTCCAAGGCTGATGGTCCGTCCGTCCTTCCGGATGAGCAGGTTGAGTCCCGGGGCGCCCTCCTTGCCCCCTACCAGGGAAGAGAAGCCATAGGATGAATGAGGGGCCAAGGACTGGCGATGGAGGGAGTGAAGCCGGATAGTGGAGGGGCACCCAGTTCCATACGGCAGCCACCCCTCTCAACATGGGGACACCTATTCTTACAAGGACAGCCGGGCACACTCAGCAGGTATCCAGTTGGAGACACACGCCCGTCTCACCTTGCAGGCCGTAGGGCCGGAAAGCTCTCCTTTCACTCAGCACTGAGAGCACCATCTCCTCCCGGAACTGGATCTCCCGCCGGACGCCGTTTCCGCCCTGGAACTGGCCGTCTCCGCCTGTGCCGGGGGCCAGCTGGAAGCACTTCAGGACCACCGGATACCTGCAAATGGGGAGAGGATGATATAACTCAGGCATGAGCAAACTTTGGTCCTCCAGGTGTTTTGGACTTCAACTCCCACAATTCCTAAGAGCCTCAGGCCCTTTCCTTTTACCCCTCAGCCATTTAAGCCTTTGTTTACATTCAGAAGGACAAAACGAGGGACTTCCTTTCCGAATCCCGGATGAGGCCCCATTATTCACTTAAGCAGCTGAGTGGGGGGGGGGGGAGGAAGGGGCTTGAGGCTGTTAGGAATTGTGGGAATTGAAGTCCAAAACACCTGGAGGGCAAAAGTTTGCCAATGCTTGGTATATACCATTGGCTATTAACATTTTCAATGCCAAGATAGCTAGCTACTAGGGCTGGGTAACCACGGAAAAATTTGTTTCTAAACTCGATTTGTTTCCAGGGGGTGCTAGCGTTTCCAAATTCTAAATACTTCCGAAATTTTGAGATTTCAAAATTTCGTTATTTGCGAAATTTCGTTAATTCCGAATCGATTCGTTAATGGCGGACACGATTGCGCAATATGCTAAAAAAAACCCTCCAAATGGGACAGGGGGAACTTCTGAAGCTTCCCTCTCCCTCTGTTATTGACTGTTGGTGTGATAATTTATTTTTTTATCACTGATAAAACAAACAACAACTATAAAACTTGCACCACACATACGGAAATAATTTCGAAACAATTTCGAAACAATTTCGAAGCAATATCGAAACAATTACGAAACAATTACAAAACAATTACGAAATCAATTGAAAAAATTGTTTCGATTTTTAGTTACTCCTGCATGGCTCAATATCGGATCGTAAGCTAATTTAAATACGAATTAATAACGAATTACGAAATTAACGAACGAAACCCAGCCCTACTAGCTACTCATTTGCGGTATGCATCCAGCATCTGGATTGGTGGTTCAACACCAGCACCAACCACGGTTCTTGAAGGCCCACAAGAACCATCTAAAACACCTGGAGGGCCAAAGTTTTCCCAGTCCTTCTCTAGTCGAATTCCTTGCTTCCCACACAGAGAAGAACCACATCCTTTGAAGTATCCTGGAAGGCACAGTGGATGGGTCAAAGGGCAGAGTATTAAAGGACCCACCTACCGTCCTATCAATGCCACGTGAGAGAGGGGTCTGTCCACTTCCTTCTTAATGTCGCAGATCCCCTGATCTCCTGCGTCCACTCACCGCTTCTCCAGGATCTCCGGATCTGTGATGCGGGTGTTGGTCATGTGGGAGTGGACCCCGCTCCGGCCGTGCCAATGAGGCCCTGCTCCGGATCCTCCAGCCACCGTCTCATAGTAGCCCACCCGCGTGTTGCCAAAGGTCACATTGTTCATGCAGCCCTGGAAGGAGGAGGAGTCCAGGAGTGAGAAGGGATGAGACAAACACCCAAAGGGTCACTAGCCATGGAAAGTGTCTCTCCAGTTGCCTCCTGGGGAACGTTCACGCACCCCAACAACCTCTTTATACTATGTTGTTGTTGGTTTTTCAGGTTGTCTGGTAGGCTTGTTTGATCAAAATAAAATGGTTCAAAACCTGTGCGTTGGTGGTTCGGATCTGAAGTCAATTTTGATTTTCAGAGAAAAAAAGTTCAAAACTTTTCAAAACTTCCGAGACTTCCGAATCCTTCGTTAATGGTTTCAAAGTGTTGTTTCCTGTTTCATTGGGTGGTCTTTACTTTGAAAGTAGTTGTTTTATTCCAGAAGCAGGAGGGGGGGAAGAAAAGGGAAGAAATCACGGGAGGGAAAGGAAACAAAGAGAATCCATCCAAACTGGGTTGTTGTAGGTTTTTCCGGGCTATATGGCCATGTTCTAGAGGCATTTTCTCCTGACGTTTTGCCTGCATCTATGGCAAGCATCCTCAGAGGTAGCAACCTCACCTCACTACCTCTGAGGATGCTTGCCATAGATGCAGGCGAAACGTCAGGAGAGAATGCCTCTAGACCACTGCCAGGCTATCAAATGCTAATCAAGGTGGTCAGTTGAAACATTCACCCCTAGCTCCAGCAGACAAGAGTTCTTTGTCCCACCCTGGTCATTCCACAGATATAAAACCCATTTTCCTAGTTTCCAACAGACCTCACTACCTCTGAGGATGCTTGCCATAGATGCAGAAACGTCAGGAGAGAATGCCTCTAGAACATGGCCATATAGCCCGAAAAAACCTACAACAACCCAGTGATTCCGGCATGAAAGCCTTCGACAATAAATAAATAAATAAATACATTAAACTGCATTTCTCACACAAGGCTGACCAGGAGAGAAAGGAAACTGAAGGGAATCCATCCACACAGGTTTGAAAAGCTTAATCATTTCCGATTCACTTGCTGATTCGTAAGAGAAATGGCAAAAAAAAAGCTTCGGAAGGGCAAAGGGACTTCTAGTTTCCTTAAAAACTTCAAAATATCTTCAAAAAGGAAATCTTTCTGAATTTATTCCGAATTTATTCCGAATTTATTCTGAATTTATTGGAGTTCTATGCCGACCGAACCTAACCATGCCTACTGTCTGGCCATGTTGTAGAACCATTCTCTCCTGATGTTTCACCTGCATCTGTGGCAAGCACCCTCAGAGGTTGTGAGGTTGTGAACCTCTGTATAGTCTCACCTGGGAGGCTGCACAGGCCTCAAAGGCTCTAAGGATGACATCCACCACCCGCTGCGAGGTCAGCACGTTGCCCCCCACCACGGCCGCGTCCGGAGAGGGGTCCAGGAGAGAGCCCTTGGGGATGACCACCCGGACGGGGGCCAGGCAGCCCTGCATAATGACAGAGAGAGACAGAGAGAAATGTAAAAGAGCACGTCTGCACTGCAGAATTAATGCGGTTTAGACCCCTTGAATACAAAGGTGTGTATTCTATCCTAACGGAATATGGAAAAAGGATTCAAAACCAGAAAGAAGAAAAGAGCTGTTTGTGACTAAGAATATAATTAAAGAAGCACAAAACCCCATAAGTGATAAATTGGGTTTCCAAGTTGTCCATAAGGTCAAATATTTGGGGGTAAATCTCTCTAACGAAAAATCTAATTCATATAATGATATAGGATAATATTTGAAAAGATTTACAAATGTATGGAGTGAATTAAAAGAAATTGTATGATTGTGGTCCGGCTAAGGGCCTATTAAGGCTTGCCAAGGCTGAAGATACCATCCTATAATTAGAACCTGGGAAAATGGCATTGTGGAGGAACAAAAGAGGTGAAGAATTCATTGTGGCATGAAAAGTGCTGATGAAGAAAAAGTGCTGATGATAACTGATTTGAGAACCTTTGGGGTAAATAGCACATGTTTACATGGTCAGAGACATGCTATAATTCAGCCATTGATTGTGTCTAATGTCAATGAGGAAGTGGATTGTGGGATTTCTGGGCCTTTGAGCCTGCGAGACATCATGAGATTTTAAGTCCTGAAACGGAGCATTCTGTGTCTCCTGCAGTTAGTGACGGTGAAGGTCACATTCCAGAGAGGGACCCAGAGAAGTCTTTCTCTAGGGAAGCGAGTTCAGAGGATGAACTGCCAGGTGGAGAGGGTAATGATAGATAGATAAGAGGCTTAGTTTTCACAAACTCCGGGCTGATTCACAGACTTGGCAAAGGTCACAGAGTGTCCTGAGTTGCCCTTCAAAAACAGCCTTTAGACAATGTTGCAAGTAAAAGAAAAATGCTTTACTCCAGAAAACACAAAGGATAAGCAAATGTAATTGAAAAGTGCAAAAGAAAACAAGGAAGTCTTAATCCAGACACAAATTAAAGTCTCTTACAAAATCCCAAAAGAAACACCAATCTTCCATCAGACAGTGGACAATAAACTAAGTCCTTAGCAGCAGACAGAAAGCATATTCCATTGGAGTGAAAACATCAGTGTCAGGGTCGTTGGAAACTAGGACACGAAACAATGGCTTCAAACTACAAGAAAGGAGATTCCATCTGAACACGAGGAAGAACTTCCTGACTGTGAGAGCCGTTCAGCAGTGGAACTCTCTGCCCTGGAGTGTGGTGGAGGTTCCTTCTTTGGAAGCTTTTAAACAGAGGCTGGATGGCCATCTGCCAGGGGTGATTTGAATGCAATATTCCTGCTTCTTGGCAGAATGGGGTTGGACTGGATGGCCCATGAGGTCTCTTCCAACTCTTTGATTCTATGATTCTATGAAAGCTGACTTCTCCTGCCTCTGTTTTATAGCCCTGAATTCCCCATGCAGGAAGGGCTAGGGCATCTCCCAATTAGCTCAGCGTTTTTAGCAGCTATTCTGGCTGAACGGCATCTGTGCTTTGTCTCTTTTTGTCTCTCTAGAAACATGGGCACATTCAAACCCTCATCATCTGATTCTTCTACTCCTTCCAATTCCTGAGCACTTCCCTGCTCCCCTTCCTCCTTCAAAGATGAGGAATCCTTAACACCGAGCTTGTTAGAGAAAAAGCCATTATCAGTTTGCCAGGGAAAACAGAATGATTTAATGGTTTTATTAGAGAAACCAAAGGGATTTTTAAGGAATCGGGTCAATGTTGGAGATGAAGCAGCATCTCTTGTCAAGTCCTAGTCAAGCCTGCTAAGGGAAATTCTAGTTTCATGTTTCCAGTTGTTCATGTTCCATGCTTCCAGGATTGTTCTTGAATTTTGTGCATTGAATTTTATGCTACCTTGTGTATCCCGATTCTTTTGCATTCCTGGTTTTTTTTTATGCCACTCTTGTAGCTTGAATCTTATGGACTATTTCATACATTTGGACTTAGATGTTTTTACTATTTTGCTGAACTGTTTTTTTATATATATTCTTCAATAAATTGCTTTGATGATTTACATTGGAGTGGAGTGTGGTGGTTAAGTACAGAGGTGCTTCCTGTCCTGGAATACAACAGGAAGTCAGAAACAATGGTTCTTTACACTGAGGAAGAAAAACATCTGTATCAAACTGCGTCCATTCTACCGTGTAGATGCACCCCGAGAGAGGCATAAGCCAATGGAGAGACTTCTCCCACCTCCACTGACCCTGACTCTTTGAGATGGTCACTTCGCCATGCTGTTTCTCCTGCCTGGCTACAACTATTTCCCAATCGTCAGTTTGGATGGATGGGAAGGGAAAGGAAGCAAGGGCCCCCTTGCCCCTGTGCACCCACCCCAAATGTGTTAGATACATAATGGATTGTCAGACAGGAATGCATTGGCTGTAACCCTATTGTGTAAAACTGGCGTAAAAATACAGTTCTAATGGACATGTGGTCACACGCCTGCTGTATGATTAAGAGGGTGGTGATGTGAAACTTAAAGGACATGCTGAAAAGGCTGAGTCATGACTGTGCTATACTTATGACGAAGGTTGCATCATTCAGTAGTTATAAAAGATGGCAGGAAGTGTGTGTTCTTTCTCTTACTGAACTCTCTTTCTGAATGCTCTTGCCGTCTTGTCTTGCTGAACTGTTGCTGATATCTGTTTTACCTACATCAGTGAGTATATGGCTGTATATGCCATTGACGGATAGGAGATCAGGGGATCCTGATCCGTGTGTGTATATTTTGTACACAGAGCAAGGAGTCAAGATTAAAACCTCCCGTGAGTTTGGATGAAAGCTGACTCAAAGAGTTTTCCTAAAGAGTGAGCAGCACAAGCTCAGGAGGTGCAGATACCATGCAGACAACTGGTAAGCACTCAACTTGCCTCTGAGACATTCAGTCCATTGCACAGCGATTCAGGGAGGGCATGTTTGGAAAACTATCAATCATGACCTATCCCACCACGACAAAACCTCACTCACCTGGTTGAGGGGGATGTCCTGGCCCACCATGCAGCGCAGGCAGTAGATGAGGGCCGAGAGGGTGATGGCGCGAGGGGCGTTGCAGTTCCCGTAAACCTCATGGCCGGAGCCGGAGAAGTCAAAGGTGGCTGTGCCCTGCAAAGAGAAGGCCTAGGATTCGGGAAACAGCAAAGGGACCCCAAAACAGCCCCCCACCCCAAAAAATCAGGCTCCACAGAGGCACACAGTTTTTGGTGGTTTCATTTGCAAGGAGTCCCTTGCAATCAGCAACACGGTGGACATGTTCATCATCATGTTTGGGGGGAGAAATCATCTCCTTGGAGAGACGGGGCTGTGCCGTTACACCCAGACGTCATAAAAATAAAACAAAGATGTGCTGCTCTCTATGTCTGAGCGAACTGCGGGTGTCTTTCTTTAGAAGCTTGAGATATTCAGCAACTGAGGCTATTAAAGGTTTTGAACATCAAAAAGGGGATATTTATTCTTCAAAGTCCTTGCAGACTTGGCACAGTTTATCGAGGTCACAAACAGAACAGTCAATAGGTGAAACCACAGAGATCTTCTTTCTTTCCCTTCTCCTCCAGTCACTGAGTTAACTTTTCCCCGGAAGGCAGAGAAGATCCTGGAATCTTTTCACCCTAAACCTAAGCTGTTATTTTTTAGAAAGACCAGGTCTTTCCCTATCTATAACTCTAGGTTAGTTCTGGAGATAAAGCAATGAAGTCTCTCTTTCTATATCTATATAACTCAGTTTTTCAATAGTCTTCCCTATCTATAGTATCTCAATCTCAATCTTCAATATCTATCTAAAACAGTGTTTCTCAACCTGGGGGTCGAGACCCCTGTGGGGGTCGCGAGGGGGTGTCAGAGGGGTCACCAAAGACCATCAGAAAACATAGTATTTTCTCTTTGTCATGGGTGTTCTGCATGGGAAGTTTGGTCCAATTCTATAATTGGTGGGGTTCAGAATGCTATTTCATTGTGGGTGAACTATGAATCCCAGCAACTCCAACTCTCAAATGGCAAGGTCTGTTTTCTCCAAACTCTACCAGTGTTCACATTTGGGCATATTGATTATCTGTGCCAAGTTTGATCCAGATCCATCACTGTTTGAGTCTATGGATATAGGTGAACTACAACTCCAAAAACTCAAGGTCAGTGTCCACCAGACTCTCCCAGTATTTCTCTTCGCCATGGGAATTCTGTGTGCCAAATTTGATTCAATTCCATCATTGATAGAGTTCAAAAGGCTCTTTGATTTTAGGTGAACTATAAATCCCAGCAATTCCAACATTCCCAAATGACAAAATCAATCCCCTCCAACCCCACCTGTATTCAAATTTGGGCGTTTCGGGTATTTGTGCCAAATTTGGTCCAGTGAATGAAAATACATCCTGCATATCAGAGATTTATATTACGATTCACAACAGTAGCAAAATTAAAGAAGTAGCAATGAAAATAACGTTATGGTTGAGGGTCACTACAACATGAGGACCTGTACTAAGGGGTCGCGGCATTAGGAAGGTTAAGAACCACTGATCTAAAATAACTCAATCTTCAATTTCTCAATCAGCTATAACTCAATCACTCAATCAATCTTAGCTATCTATAGTATCTTAATAGTCTTAATATAGTCTTAATAGTCTTAATAGTACTTACAATGATTTTCCCAGAGCTACCCTGACTAACCACTTCTCTAAACTAAAAAGGCAGGAGATTCCAAAATGGAGATCTCTTCCCTGGGAAAAAGGGCGGTCTCTAACCCCAAAGAGATACCTTCTAAGCCAATAGCTGCAAAAGGCCTGCAGACTGGCTTTGCAGCCTCTGAAACTGTTAACGTTCAGGGCTCTGCAGAGCTGCCACATCCCTGGGAAAAATGCAAGGGGAAGCAACTTCAAGCAACTGTCAGGTAAAGCAAACAGAACAGGGGCTGGGGGGGGGGATTTAAAAATGGCAAGTGCCCTGTTTTTTCAATACTTAGGCTCCTTCTACACTGCCATATAACCCAGTATTAATTTGTTGTGGAAACAAGGATTGGGGATAAAGCTTCATTGGAGATTCCTTTCCCCCGATAATAGTAACTCTTCCAGGAGTGGATTTGCCTTCCTTCCGAGGGGGGAATTTGTCTCCTTTCCTGTTGTCTCAGCACCGTTCTTAACTATGAGTCATTTGTTTGTTTGTTTGTTTACAGTATTTATATTCCGCCCTTTGCACCCCGTAGGGGATTCAGGGTGGATCACAATGCACATATAAACAGCAAACATTAAATGCCATAGTGTCCCGAGTAGCCCTTCAAAACCAGCCTTTAGACAATGTTGAAAGTAAAAGGAAAATGCTTTACTTCAGCAAACACAAAGGACAAGCAAATACCTTTCGGACCGCATCTCGGCCTATGAGCCCACGAGGGCCTTGAGATCGTCTGGGGAGGCCCTTCTCTCGATCCCGCCTGCCTCACAGGCACGTCTGGCGGGGACGAGAGAGAGGGCCTTCTCAGTGGTGGCCCCCCGGCTGTGGAACACCCTCCCTGTTGACATCAGACAGGCGCCCTCCCTTATGGCTTTCCGTAAGAGCCTAAAGACCTGGCTATTCGAGAAGGCATTTAATTGAGAACTACACAAATCTGGTAATGACATCTGGAACGGACTATGGATTATGAGACTGGCTAGGAAAGCCTAGAGAAGACAATTATGCTGGGGAAAGTGGAAGGCAAAAGGAAGAGGGGCCGACCAAGGGCAAGATGGATGGATGGCATCCTTGAAGTGACTGGACTGACCTTGAGGGAGCTTGGGGTGGTAACAGCCGACAGGGAGCTCTGGCGTGGGCTGGTCCATGAGGTCACGAAGAGTCGGAGACGACTGAACGAATGAACAACAACAACATGATTCTATGTTGTGACGGTGCGGATTTGTTAGTGTGATTTAGATTAATGTGTAATATGGTTATGTTGATATATTGTGTGCTTTTTGTAAACTGTTTTTATATGTTGTACACCGCCGCGAGTCGCCCCAGGGCTGAGAGCGGCGGTCAACAAATGCAGAAATAAATAAATAAATATAAATAAATTGAAAAGTGAAAAAGAAAACAAGGAAGTCTTAATCCAGACACAAATTAAAGTCTCTTACGAAGTCCCAAAAGAAACACCAGACTTCCATTAGACCAGTGGTTCTCAACCTAGGGTCCCCAGATGTTTTTAGCCTACAACTCCCAGAAATCCCAGCCAGTTTACCAGCTGTTAGGATTTCTGGGAGTTGAAAGCCAAAACATCTGGGGACCCCAGGTTGAGAACCACTGCATTAGACAATGGACAATGAACTAAGTTTTTAGCAGCAGACACAAAGCAGATTCCATTGGAGTGAAAACATCAGTATCGGGGTCATTGTTACCAGTGAAAGCTGGTTGCTCCTGCTCCTGATTTATAGCCCTGAATTCCCCATGCAGGAGGTGCTAGGGCATCTCCCAATTAGCTCAGCATTTTTAGCAGCTATCCTAGCTGAACGCCGACTGTGCTCTGTCTCTTTTTGTCTCTCTAGAAATGTGGGCACTTTCAAACCCTCATTGTCTGATTCTTCTTCTCCCTCCAATTCCTGAGCACTTCCTTGCTCCCCTTCCTCTTCTGAAGATGATGAATCCCTAACACATATACACTTCTCCCAATTAGCTCAATGTTTTTAGCTGCTATTCTGGCTGAATGGCATCTGTGCTCTGTCTCTTTTGTCTCTCTAGAAATGTGGGCACTTTCAAACCCTCATCGTCTGATTCTTCTTCTCCCTCCAATTCCTGAGCACTTCCCTGCTCCCCTTCCTCCTCCTGATTTATAGCCCTGAATTCCCCATGCAGGAGGTGCTATGGCATCTCCCAATTAGCTCAGCATTTTTAGCAGCTATCCTAGCTGAACGCTATCTGTGCTCTGTCTCTTGTCGTCTCTCTAGAAATGTGGGCATTTTTAAACCCTCATCGTCTGATTCTTCTTCCTCCAATTCCTGAGCACTTCACTGCTCCCTTTCCTCCTCCGAAGATGAGGAATCCCTAACACATAGACACACAACATATATAGACAGATACACAGAGGCTATTTAACTTTCCAGCTTCATGAGGATATGCTTTTCAAATTCCGGCCACTGGGGAAGCTGTCACTTCACTGTCCACTTGTGACACTGATGGAGTACTTCCTCATTCTTTGCACGCTGCTGGAGATTTTTATGGCATCATAAATTAGTTAAATTAGCCTCCCCATATGGTAACTAAATTTCCTACTTGACTGATGCATGTCATAGAATCATAGAATCATAGAATCAAAGAGTTGGAAGAGACCTCATGGGCCATCCAGTCCAACCCCATTCTGCCAAGAAGCAGGAATATTGCATTCAAATCACCCCTGACAGATGGACATCCAGTCTCTGTTTAAAAGTCTCCAAAGAAGGAGCCTCCACCACACTCCAGGGCAGAGAGTTCCACTGCTGAACCTCTCACAGTGTCAGTATAAGACTATTGTATAGTGTGTGTTTAAATGTAATTTTATGTACAATGGTTGTGATTCTAACAGGATTGTATTGCCAGAGAGTATTCTGACACAGAAAGGTTTAAACAGTAGAGTTAATAAGCTGTGAAGATGTGACCCTGAGCGTTGCCTTGAGCGAGTAGGGAGGATACAGAGATAAGTCCTTATAGCTTCAGTGAGTGTGTTAGTCGTTCTTTCTCGTTCTTATACCTGTCTGTCTACTGATGGTGTATGCTGTATATTTGAGCTGCTTAGTAAAGCTGAAGTAAAGCTTAGTAAAGCTGTTTTTATACTGAAGTCTCAAGCGTCCATTTCTTCAGATCTGCAAAAGCTTCTGCAGCACTCTGACAATGCAACTGTCTTTCGGGCTGCAAAGGTCAACAGCAAGCTAGACAAATGGTTGGGAGCTTACTCCGACTCAGGCTGGCTTTGAACTCATGACCTTTTGATCAGTAGTGATTTTTAATGCAGCTGACTGCCACAACCTGGTCCTTTGGAAGTCAGATGGTCGTAACTTGGGGAATGGACAACAAGTTAAACATGAGCCAACAATGTGATGTGGCGGCAAAAAAAGCCAATGGGATTTTGGCCTGCATCAATAGGAGCATAGTGTCTAGATCTAAGGAAGTCATGCTACCCCTCTATTCTGCTTTGGTTAGACCACATCTGGAATATTGTGTCCAATTCTGGGCACCACAATTCAAGAGAGATATTGACTCTAAGCTGGAATGTGTCCAGAGGAGGGCGACTAAAATGATCAAGGGTCTGGAGAACAAGCCCTATGAGGAGCGGCTTAGGGAACTGGGCATGTTTAGCCTGAAGAAGAGAAGGCTGAGAGGAGATATGATAGCCATGTATAAATATGTGAGAGGAAGCCACAGGGAGGAGGAGGAGCAAGCTTGTTTTCTGCTTCCCTGGAGACTAGGACGCGGAACAATGGCTTCAAACTACAGGAAAGGAGATTCCATCTGAACATGAGGAAGAACTTCCTGACTGTGAGAGCCGTTCAGCAGTGGAACTCTCTGCCCCGGAGGGAGTGTGGTGGAGGCTCCTTCTTTGGAAGCTTTGAAACAGAGGCTGGATGGCCATCTGTCAGGGGTGATTTGAATGCAATATTCCTGCTTCTTGGCAGAATGGGGTTGGACTGGATGGCCCAGGAGGTCTCTTCCAACTCTTTGATTCTACTATTCTATGATTCTATGAATGCCTGTATTGTTGTTGTTGTTGTTGTTGTGCTCTCCCTGAACTTCTCTCTTTTGTTCTCTCAGCTTGCTACTCTAGTAGTCGGGGACTGAATGATCTCAAATATTTCAAGGGTGCTTTAATTTGAACAGATCAAAGCAAATCCAGTCTAATGGCCAGATGATTCCCATCAAGGCTGACCTATCTTGAAGTCAACTTGACAACATTGAACGAGACCAAAAAGCGACAAGATCCCATGCGTACCATCCCATGCATACTTTGACTTGTCCCGTCACAGATGACTTTTCACAATTGCATGCAAATAACCCGCATTTTGCTCTTTCATCGCTCCGTCTCCCTGTTTTTTGGGGGTCTCACCTCTTGGGGGTCAATGGTCACTTTGAGGCGGATGGGGGAGCCGTCGTCCATGAAGTCTTCAGCCTCGACCTGCAGAGGACGCCCTGACTGACCTCGGCCGTGGGCAAAGTCCTTCAGCATCTGCTGGACGGCCACCTCTGCGTTGGCCTGCGTTTGAGAGGGAGAAATGTGACTTGTGGTGAATGCAGTGGAGAGACTATGTGAGATTGGAATAAATAAAATTTTGTCGAAAGCTTTTGCACTGGATTTACTGGGGTGTTGTTGTGTGGTTTCCAGGCCGTATGGCCAAGGTGCTGTAGCAGCATTTTCTCCTGATTTTTCGCCTGCATCTGTGGCCAAGGGCATCTTCAGAGGATCTTCATGAGAAGATGCCAGCCACACATGCAGGTGAAACGTCAAGAGAAAATGATGCTAGAATACTTTGATTGTGCTCTTCCAGCATGGTGAAGGAGGTTGGACTAGATGGCCTTTGGGGTCTCTTCCAACTATATTATTATAATTATTGTTATTATTATTATTATTATTATTATTATTATTATTGAGGTTGGATGGCCATCTGTCGGGGGTGCTTTGATTGTACTTTTCCTGCATGGCAGGAGGTTGGACTAGATGGTCCATGGGGTCTCTTCCAACTATATTATTATTATTATTATTATTATTATTATTATTGAGGTTGGATGGCCATCTGTCGGGGGTGCTTTGTACTTTTCCTGCATGGCAGGAGGTTGGACTAGATGGCCCATGGGGTCTCTTCCAACATTATTATTATTATTATTATTATTATTATTATTATTGAGGTTGGATGGCCATCTGTCAGGGGTGCTTTGATGGTACTTTTACTTCATGGCAGGAGGTTGGACTAGATGGCCCATGGGGTCTCTTCCAACTATATTATTATTATCATTATTGTTATATTATTATTATTATTATTATTATTATTATTATTGAGGTTGGATGGCCATCTGTCGGGGGTGCTTTGATTGTACTTTTCCTGCATGGCAGGAGGTTGGACTAGATGGCCTATGGGGTCTCTTCCAACTATATTATTATTATCATTATTGTTATATTATTATTATTATTATTATTATTATTATTGAGGTTGGATGGCCATCTGTCGGGGGTGCTTTGATTGTACTTTTCCTGCATGGCAGGAGGTTGGACTAGATGGCCCATGGGGTCTCTTCCAACTATATTATTATTATTATTATTATTATATTATTATTATTATTATTATTGAGGTTGGATGGCCATCTGTCGGGGGTGCTTTGATTGTACTTTTCCTGCATGGCAGGAGGTTGGACTAGATGGCCTATGGGGTCTCTTCCAACTATATTATTATTATCATTATTGTATTATTATTATTATTATTATTATTATTATTATTATTGAGGTTGGATGGCCATCTGTCGGGGGTGCTTTGATTGTACTTTTCCTGCATGGCAGGAGGTTGGACTAGATGGCCTATGGGGTCTCTTCCAACTATATTATTATTATCATTATTGTATTATTATTATTATTATTATTATTATTATTATTATTATTGAGGTTGGATGGCCATCTGTCAGGGTTCCATCTGAACATGATGGCAGGAGGTTGGACTAGATGGCCCATGGGGTCTCTTCCAACTATATTATTATTATCATTATTGTTATATTATTATTATTATTATATTATTATTATTAAGGTTGGATGGCCATCTGTCGGGGGTGCTTTGATTGTACTTTTCCTGCATGGCAGGAGGTTGGACTAGATGGCCTATGGGGTCTCTTCCAACTATATTATTATTATCATTATTGTTATATTATTATTATTATTATTATTATTATTATTATTATTATGAGGTTGGATGGCCATCTGTCAGGGGTGCTTTGATTGTACTTTTCCTGCATGGCAGGAGGTTGGACTAGATGGCCCATGGGGTCTCTTCCAACTATATTATTATTATCATTATTGTTATATTATTATTATTATTATTATTATTATTATTATTGAGGTTGGATGGCCATCTGTCGGGGGTGCTTTGATTGTACTTTTCCTGCATGGCAGGAGGTTGGACTAGATGGCCTATGGGGTCTCTTCCAACTATATTATTATTATCATTATTGTTATATTATTATTATTATTATTATTATTATTATTGAGGTTGGATGGCCATCTGTCGGGGGTGCTTTGATTGTACTTTTCCTGCATGGCAGGAGGTTGGACTAGATGGCCTATGGGGTCTCTTCCAACTATATTATTATTATCATTATTGTTATATTATTATTATTATTATTATTATTATTATTATTGAGGTTGGATGGCCATCTGTCGGGGGTGCTTTGATTGTACTTTTCCTGCATGGCAGGAGGTTGGACTAGATGGCCTATGGGGTCTCTTCCAACTATATTATTATTATCATTATTGTTATATTATTATTATTATTATTATTATTATTATTATTATTATTATTATTATTGAGGTTGGATGGCCATCTGTCGGGGGTGCTTTGATTGTACTTTTCCTGCATGGCAGGAGGTTGGACTAGATGGCCTATGGGGTCTCTTCCAACTATATTATTATTATCATTATTGTTTATTATTATTATTATTATTATTATTATTATTATTATTATCCTATTGTAGATACAGTTGCCCGCCTACAACAGAGAAGGTAAACAGCAGCGGAGGTTGGACTAGATGGCCCATGGGGTCTCTTCCAACTATATTATTATTATCATTATTGTTATATTATTATTATTATTATTATTATTATTATTATTGAGGTTGGATGGCCATCTGTCGGGGGTGCTTTGATTGTACTTTTCCTGCATGGCAGGAGGTTGGACTAGATGGCCTATGGGGTCTCTTCCAACTATATTATTATTATCATTATTGTTATATTATTATTATTATTATTATTATTATTATTATTATTATTGAGGTTGGATGGCCATCTGTCGGGGGTGCTTTGATTGTACTTTTCCTGCATGGCAGGAGGTTGGACTAGATGGCCCATGGGGTCTCTTCCAACTATATTATTATTATCATTATTGTTATATTTATTATTATTATTATTATTATTATTATTATTATTATTATTGAGGTTGGATGGCCATCTGTCGGGGGTGCTTTGATTTTACTTTTCCTGCCTGGCAGGACATTGGACTAAATGATCCATGTGGTCTCTTCCAACTATATTATTATCGGGTTGTTGTGAGTTTTCTGGGCTGTCTGGCCATGTCCCAGAAGCACTCTCTCCTGACGATTCACCCACACCTATGGCAAGCATCCTCAGAGGTTGAGGGGTATGTTGGAATCTGGGCAAGTGGGGTTTATATATCTGTGGAATAATGTCCAGTGTGGGAGAGAGAACTCTTATTATATTATTATATTATATCACTATCAGTATTTTTAATCTTCGTATTATTAACATTACTGCAGTTGGATGGCCATCTGTCGGGAGTGCTTCGATTATGCTTTTCCTGCAGGGCAGGTGGTTGAACTAGATGGCCCATGTTATTGTTGTTATTGTTGTTGTTTATTTATTTATTTATTTATTTACTTTATTTGTATACCGCAGTTTCTCAGCCCGTAGGCGACTCAACGCCGTTAACAAGAGCAAAAATTCAATACTAACAACATACACTATTTAAAAACAATTAACACCGTAATATACTAAGTAATTACACATCAATAGACAACACATTAACATCTCGTAACTAGAATCGCGATCCAACTCGTCATCCGTAATTCCGTTTTCCTATATTCATTATATTCATTGCACTGCTTATCCGAACGCCTGTTCAAATAGCCAGGTTTTCAGTTTTCTTCGAAACACCATTAACGAGGGGGCTGATCTAATGCCCATGGGAAGGGCCTTCCACAGCTGAGGGGCCACCACAGAGAAGGCCCTGTCCCTCGTCCCCGCCAGCTGTGCCTGTGATGCAGGCGGGATCGAGAGCAGGGCCTCCCCAGAAGATCTTAAAGTCCTGGTGGTTCATAGGCAGAGATGCGGTCAGATAGGTAGCTTGGGCCAGAACCGTTTAGGGCTTTATAGGCCAACGCCAGCACTTTGAATTGTGCCCGGTAGCAAATTGGTAGCCAGTGGAGCTGGCGCAGCAGAGGAGTTGCATGCTCCCTGTTGTTGTTGTTTATTTATTTATTTATGTATTTACTTTGCTTCTATACCGCTGTATCTCAAGCCCGAAGGCGACTCACAGCGGTTCACAAACAGTAAAAACAGTAGAAACAGCAGAGGTTCCATACAACATATAGCAACACATTATCCATAAATTATCAATAAGCAATTACAATGCACAATTATTACAAAAAACAACCGTACCCAATCTTCTCATCATCCAAGCGTAGTCCAGGTTCGTCGTCCATTGTTCCATTCCTATGTTCCATTACCAGATTGCACTAAATTACTCAAACGCCTGCACAAACATCCAGGTCTTCACCTTTTTGCGGAATTCCATTAGAGATGGTGCTAGTCTAATGTCCGTAGGAAGGGCGTTCCACAGCCGAGGAGCCACCACCGAGAAGGCCCTATCTCTCGTCCCCGCCAGCCGAGCTTGAGAAGCAGGCGGGATCGAGAGCAGGGTCTCCCGGAAGATCTCAAAGTCCTGGTGGGTTCATAGGCAGAGATGCGGTCAGATAGGTAGCTTGGGCCAGAACCGTTTAGGGCTTTAAAGGCCAACGCCAGCACTTTGAATTCAGCCCGGTAGCAGATCGGTAGCCAGTGGAGTTGGCGCAACAGGGGGTTGTATGCTCCCTGCGCTCCGCTCCTGTTAAAATCATGGCTGCCGAGCGTTGGACTAGTTGGAGCTTCCGAGCTGTCTTCAAAGGCAACCCCACGTAGAGAGCGTTGCAGTAGTCTAAACGGGATGTAACCAGAGCATGGACTACCGTGGCCAAGTCAGACTTCCCAAGGTACGGGCGCAGCTGGCGCACAAGCTTTAGCTGTGCAAATGCTCCCCTGGTCACCGCCGAAACCTGGGGTTCCAGGCTCAGCTCAGTTGTTGTTATTATTATTATTGAGGCTGGATGGCCATCTGACGGGGTGCTTTGATTGTGCTTTTCCTGCATGGTGGTGGAAGGGTTGGACTGGATCCCCTTCTAGTTAGCAGCCACTTGGGCTTGAAGGTCGGTTGTCCTGCAGGTTGCAGGTGCCACTGCTGCCGGGGATAATGCTGGGCGCCATCTTTCAACTATGTTATTATATCATTATTATTATGGCCATCTGTCCTTTCCTTGCATGATAAAAATGCATGATAAAAATCCAAATCCCCATGCGAAGTCTATGAGATGCAAAAAATTAAGAGTCCCTCCAGAACTGCAAGCACTATCTCAAGCAAATATTGACAATTTATTATTATTATTATTATTATTATTATTATTATTATTATTTACTGTATTTGTATACCGCCTTTCTCAGCCTATCGGCGACTCAAGGCGGTTTCCAACAAAACAGTATACATAGTATCATAATACAATTTAAAAACATTAAAATTACATAAATCACAACAGCAATAAAAACAACATCATTGGCGTCTCCTTATTGTCAAGCATTGTCCAATTCCATCGTCAGTTATCCGTTCCTATATCAGTTATCTGTATCCGTTACTCTGTGTTTGTGAACGCTGGCTCAAACAGCCATGTTTTGAGTTGCTTCCGAAACATTAAGAGGGAGCAAGCAGATCTAATCTCTCTGGGGAGGGCGTTCCATAGCCGGGGAGCCACCGCTGAAAAGGCCCTGTCTCTAGTCCCCGCCAAATGTACCTGTGATGAAGGCGGGGCCGAGAGCAGAGCCTCTCCGGATGATCTCAAGGTCCTAGATGGTTCATAAGGGAAGATACGTTCGTACAGGTAAGTTGGGCCAGAACCGTTTAGGGCAGGGGTAGGGAACCTTTGGCCCTCCAGCTGTGGTGGACTTCAACTCCCACAATTCCTTGAGGCTCGGCATTGGGCCAAGGTAAGCCTTTGGGGCGAATGCCGAGCCTCAAGGAATTGTGGGAGTTGAAGACCACCACAGCTGGAGGGCCAAAGGTTCCCTACCCCTGTTCTAGCTGGTCAAGCTAGAACCAGCACTTTGAATTTATTCACACTGTCATTACTTGCAGCAATAGCCGATGTAGTGAAGCAACCAAGTAGGGAGGGGTGTTGAATGCTCTCATTAAGGAGGCCAGACTTGGTGGAGGTGGTTGACAGGGGCGGAGCTGCAGGCTATTGAAGGCTGCTCTGCCCCCTGCTGTGCTCTTGGCTTCAGCATGAACTCCCCCCCCCCAAATTTCAACTCCTCCCAAAAAAAATTTCTGGCTACGGCCCTGGCTGGATGGCCCATGTGGTCTCTTCCAACCATATGCTTCTATGAAAGCCCTCCCAAAGGAAGACCATCCAGCCTTTGCTTAAAGACTTCCAGAGAGGGAGACTCCATTGGACTCCAAGGCAAGAGTGTATTGAGTGGAATCCCTTTTCCTGCCATGTGAACCCATTGCTCTGAGTCCCAGCTCACCTCCTCCTCCTCCTCAACGGGGAACCTTTTCAAGACCAAACAATCACCCCTGAATGCAATACCTGGAGAAGGCTTCCTGCTCCCTCACCTGGATGTGGGCCATGTAGGCCTGCACCACCTCCAGGCTGTACTGGCCAATCAGGTCGCTGACCAGCTGGATCCCCTTCTGGTTGGCGGCCACTTGGGCCCGAAGGTCAGAGAGGTTGTCCTGCAGATTGCGAGTGCCGCTGCTGCCGGGGATGCGGCCGGGAGCCATCAGGGCCTCTGTCACGGCTGCGAGGGATTTGAGGAGGGGGTGTCAGAAGTGAAAGGTCCATCCATCCCAGGTCAAGTGCAAAGAGAGACCCCCTTCCTGCCCCATTGGACAGACCTTCCTCTTGGAAGACGCCCCCCTTGACCAGCTTGAAGGACACGAAGACGGCGCCTTCCTCTTGCAAGGACCGGGAGTGTGGGGGCATGGAGCCCGGCGTGATCCCCCCAATGTCCGCGTGGTGACCCCGGCTGGCCACGAAGAAGACCGGCCTGGCCTCCCCCGGCCAGAAGACCTGCACAAAGAGGGAGAGAGAGAAAGAGTAGTGTTAGTAGCCCACAGAATGTCTCAGCCCCTTTTACTCTCAGTGTGATAAAAACTCAAAAAATACACATGAGTCTGTTGCTTTAAGTAGAAACAAAAATATAGTTCTATTATTTATTTACTACTATATTTATATACCGCCCCACTCAACCCGAAAGGCGACTTGGAGAGGTTCTATTCACTGTAGATCAAAAACACAAAACAAAGCAGAAGAATTCTCACCAATATACAACAAACAATATCACCGGTGAGTCTTCTTTACACCATGATATGCAAACATATAGAAAAATAATACAGTCTCTCTACTTAGTTATCAGTAGAATGTCCTTATCTTGCCATAAATAAGCAGCTTCCTTGGCACTCCAAATGGCTTCACTCTTCAGCTTCAGGATGCTGCGTAACCTCTCCCAGCAACAGCCAAAGGTTTCTTCAGCTCAAAACGAGCCATCAAGCTAAGTCAAAATGCAAAACTCAAAGCTTGCAAACTTAATGCCTTGTTATACGTAGGAGCTGATAACACACCCAATTAGCTTGTTGCAGATGTAACAGAAAAGGTTCTGTTCCTCCTTGTAACTTAGAAAAAGCCTGTTGTGAACCCCTAGTAGCAACTGGAATGTCCTTATCTTGGCATAAATAAGCAGCTTCCTTGGCACTCCAAATGGCTTCAGTCTTCAGCTTCAGGATGCTGCGTAACCTCTCCCAGCAACAGCCAAAGGTTTCTTCAGCTCAAAACGAGCCATCAAGCTAAGCCAAAATGCAAAACTCAAAGCTTGCAAACTTAATGCCTTGTTATACGTAGGAGCTGATAACAGACCCAATTAACTTGTTGCAGATGTAACAGAAAAGGTTCTGTTCCTCCTTGTAACTTAGAAAAAGCCTGTTGTGAACCCCTAGTAGCAACTGGAATGTCCTTATCTTGGCATAAATAAGCAGCTTCTTTGGCACTCCAAATGGCTTCACTCTTCAGCTTCAGGATGCTGCGTAACCTCTCCCAGCAACAGCCAAAGGTTTCTTCAGCTCAAAACGAGCCATCAAGCTAAGCCAAAATGCAAAACTCAAAGCTTGCAAACTTAATGCCTTGTTATACGTAGGAGCTGATAACAGACCCAATTAACTTGTTGCAGATGTAACAGAAAAGGTTCTGTTCCTCCTTGTAACTTAGAAAAAGCATGTTGTGAACCCCTAGTAGCAACTGGAATGTCCTTATCTTGGCATAAATAAGCAGCTTCTTTGGCACTCCAAATGGCTTCACTCTTCAGCTTCAGGATGCTGCGTAACCTCTCCCAGCAACAGCCAAAGGTTTCTTCAGCTCAAAACGAGCCATCAAGCTAAGCCAAAATGCAAAACTCAAAGCTTGCAAACTTAATGCCTTGTTATACGTAGGAGCTGATAACAGACCCAATTAACTTGTTGCAGATGTAACAGAAAAGGTTCTGTTCCTCCTTGTAACTTAGAAAAAGCCTGTTGTGAACCCCTAGTAGCAACTGGAATGTCCTTATCTTGCCATAAATAAGCAGCTTCCTTGGCACTCCAAATGGCTTCACTCTTCAGCTTCAGGATGCTGCGTAACCTCTCCCAGCAACAGCCAAAGGTTTCTTCAGCTCAAAACGAGCCATCAAGCTAAGCCAAAATGCAAAACTCAAAGCTTGCAAACTTAATGCCTTGTTATACGTAGGAGCTGATAACAGACCCAATTAACTTGTTGCAGATGTAACAGATAAGGTTCTGTTGCTCCTTGTAACTTAGAAAAAGCCTGTTGTGAACCCCTAGTAGCAACTGGAATGTCCTTATCTTGCCATAAATAAGCAGCTTCCTTGGCACTCCAAATGGCTTCACTTTTCAGCTTCAGGATGCTGCGTAACCTCTCCCAGCAACAGCCAAAGGTTTCTTCAGCTCAAAACGAGCCATCAAGCTAAGCCAAAATGCAAAACTCAAAGCTTGCAAACTTAATGCCTTGTTCTACGTAGGAGCTGATAACAGACCCAATTAACTTGTTGCAGATGTAACAGAAAAGGTTCTGTTCCTCCTTGTAACTTAGAAAAAGCCTGTTGTGAACCCCTAGTAGCAACTGGAATGTCCTTATCTTGGCATAAATAAGCAGCTTCCTTGGCACTCCAAATGGCTTCACTCTTCAGCTTCAGGATGCTGCGTAACCTCTCCCAGCAACAGCCAAAGGTTTCTTCAGCTCAAAACGAGCCATCAAGCTAAGCCAAAATGCAAAACTCAAAGCTTGCAAACTTAATGCCTTGTTATACGTAGGAGCTGATAACAGACCCAATTAACTTGTTGCAGATGTAACAGAAAAGGTTCTGTTCCTCCTTGTAACTTAGAAAAAGCCTGTTGTGAACCCCTAGTAGCAACTGGAATGTCCTTATCTTGGCATAAATAAGCAGCTTCTTTGGCACTCCAAATGGCTTCACTCTTCAGCTTCAGGATGCTGCGTAACCTCTCCCAGCAACAGCCAAAGGTTTCTTCAGCTCAAAACGAGCCATCAAGCTAAGCCAAAATGCAAAACTCAAAGCTTGCAAACTTAATGCCTTGTTATACGTAGGAGCTGATAACAGACCCAATTAACTTGTTGCAGATGTAACAGATAAGGTTCTGTTCCTCCTTGTAACTTAGAAAAAGCCTGTTGTGAACCCCTAGTAGCAACTGGAATGTCCTTATCTTGCCATAAATAAGCAGCTTCCTTGGCACTCCAAATGGCTTCACTCTTCAGCTTCAGGATGCTGCGTAACCTCTCCCAGCAACAGCCAAAGGTTTCTTCAGCTCAAAACGAGCCATCAAGCTAAGCCAAAATGCAAAACTCAAAGCTTGCAAACTTAATGCCTTGTTATACGTAGGAGCTGATAACAGACCCAATTAACTTGTTGCAGATGTAACAGAAAAGGTTCTGTTCCTCCTTGTAACTTAGAAAAAGCCTGTTGTGAACCCCTAGTAGCAACTGGAATGTCCTTATCTTGGCATAAATAAGCAGCTTCCTTGGCACTCCAAATGGCTTCACTCTTCAGCTTCAGGATGCTGCGTAACCTCTCCCAGCAACAGCCAAAGGTTTCTTCAGCTCAAAACGAGCCATCAAGCTAAGCCAAAATGCAAAACTCAAAGCTTGCAAACTTAATGCCTTGTTATACGTAGGAGCTGATAACAGACCCAATTAACTTGTTGCAGATGTAACAGAAAAGGTTCTGTTCCTCCTTGTAACTTAGAAAAAGCCTGTTGTGAACCCCTAGTAGCAACTGGAATGTCCTTATCTTGCCATAAATAAGCAGCTTCCTTGGCACTCCAAATGGCTTCACTTTTCAGCTTCAGGATGCTGCGTAACCTCTCCCAGCAACAGCCAAAGGTTTCTTCAGCTCAAAACGAGCCATCAAGCTAAGCCAAAATGCAAAACTCAAAGCTTGCAAACTTAATGCCTTGTTATACGTAGGAGCTGATAACAGACCCAATTAACTTGTTGCAGATGTAACAGAAAAGGTTCTGTTCCTCCTTGTAACTTAGAAAAAGCCTGTTGTGAACCCCTAGTAGCAACTGGAATGTCCTTATCTTGGCATAAATAAGCAGCTTCCTTGGCACTCCAAATGGCTTCACTCTTCAGCTTCAGGATGCTGCGTAACCTCTCCCAGCAACAGCCAAAGGTTTCTTCAGCTCAAAACGAGCCATCAAGCTAAGCCAAAATGCAAAACTCAAAGCTTGCAAACTTAATGCCTTGTTATACGTAGGAGCTGATAACAGACCCAATTAACTTGTTGCAGATGTAACAGAAAAGGTTCTGTTCCTCCTTGTAACTTAGAAAAAGCCTGTTGTGAACCCCTAGTAGCAACTGGAATGTCCTTATCTTGGCATAAATAAGCAGCTTCTTTGGCACTCCAAATGGCTTCACTCTTCAGCTTCAGGATGCTGCGTAACCTCTCCCAGCAACAGCCAAAGGTTTCTTCAGCTCAAAATAAGCCATCAAGCTAAGCCAAAATGCAAAACTCAAAGCTTGCAAACTTAACGCCTTGTTATTTATTTATTTGCTTTATTTCTATACCGCATTTTTCAGCCCAAACAGGCGACTCAATGCGGTTGTTATACTTAGGAGCTGATAACAGACCCAATTAACTTGTTGCAGATGTAACAGAAAAGGTTCTGTTCCTCCTTGTAACTTAGAAAAAGCCTGTTGTGAACCCCTAGTAGCAACTGGAATGTCCTTATCTTGGCATAAATAAGCAGCTTCTTTGGCACTCCAAATGGCTTCACTCTTCAGCTTCAGGATGCTGCGTAACCTCTCCCAGCAACAGCCAAAGGTTTCTTCAGCTCAAAACGAGCCATCAAGCTAAGCCAAAATGCAAAACTCAAAGCTTGCAAACTTAATGCCTTGTTATACGTAGGAGCTGATAACAGACCCAATTAACTTGTTGCAGATGTAACAGAAAAGGTTCTGTTCCTCCTTGTAACTTAGAAAAAGCATGTTGTGAACCCCTAGTAGCAACTGGAATGTCCTTATCTTGGCATAAATAAGCAGCTTCTTTGGCACTCCAAATGGCTTCACTCTTCAGCTTCAGGATGCTGCGTAACCTCTCCCAGCAACAGCCAAAGGTTTCTTCAGCTCAAAATAAGCCATCAAGCTAAGCCAAAATGCAAAACTCAAAGCTTGCAAACTTAACGCCTTGTTATTTATTTATTTGCTTTATTTCTATACCGCATTTTTCAGCCCAAACAGGCGACTCAATGCGGTTGTTATACTTAGGAGCTGATAACAGACCCAATTAACTTGTTGCAGATGTAACAGAAAAGGTTCTGTTGCTCCTTGTAACTTAGAAAAAGCCTGTTGTGAACCCCTAGTAGCAACTGGAATGTCCTTATCTTGGCATAAATAAGCATCTTCTTTGGTACTCCATATGACTTCACTCTTCAGCTTCAGGATGCTGCGTAACCTCTCCCAGCAACAGCCAAAGGTTTCTTCAGCTCAAAACGAGCCATCAAGCTAAGCCAAAATGCAAAACTCAAAGCTTGCAAACTTAATGCCTTGTTATACGTAGGAGCTGATAACAGACCCAATTAACTTGTTGCAGATGTAACAGAAAAGGTTCTGTTCCTCCTTGTAACTTAGAAAAAGCCTGTTGTGAACCCCTAGTAGCAACTGGAATGTCCTTATCTTGCCATAAATAAGCAGCTTCCTTGGCACTCCAAATGGCTTCACTTTTCAGCTTCAGGATGCTGCGTAACCTCTCCCAGCAACAGCCAAAGGTTTCTTCAGCTCAAAACGAGCCATCAAGCTAAGCCAAAATGCAAAACTCAAAGCTTGCAAACTTAATGCCTTGTTCTACGTAGGAGCTGATAACAGACCCAATTAACTTGTTGCAGATGTAACAGAAAAGGTTCTGTTCCTCCTTGTAACTTAGAAAAAGCCTGTTGTGAACCCCTAGTAGCAACTGGAATGTCCTTATCTTGGCATAAATAAGCAGCTTCCTTGGCACTCCAAATGGCTTCACTCTTCAGCTTCAGGATGCTGCGTAACCTCTCCCAGCAACAGCCAAAGGTTTCTTCAGCTCAAAACGAGCCATCAAGCTAAGCCAAAATGCAAAACTCAAAGCTTGCAAACTTAATGCCTTGTTATACGTAGGAGCTGATAACAGACCCAATTAACTTGTTGCAGATGTAACAGAAAAGGTTCTGTTCCTCCTTGTAACTTAGAAAAAGCATGTTGTGAACCCCTAGTAGCAACTGGAATGTCCTTATCTTGGCATAAATAAGCAGCTTCTTTGGCACTCCAAATGGCTTCACTCTTCAGCTTCAGGATGCTGCGTAACCTCTCCCAGCAACAGCCAAAGGTTTCTTCAGCTCAAAATAAGCCATCAAGCTAAGCCAAAATGCAAAACTCAAAGCTTGCAAACTTAACGCCTTGTTATTTATTTATTTGCTTTATTTCTATACCGCATTTTTCAGCCCAAACAGGCGACTCAATGCGGTTGTTATACTTAGGAGCTGATAACACACCCAATTAACTTGTTGCAGATGTAACAGAAAAGGTTCTGTTGCTCCTTGTAACTTAGAAAAAGCCTGTTGTGAACCCCTAGTAGCAACTGGAATGTCCTTATCTTGGCATAAATAAGCATCTTCTTTGGTACTCCATATGACTTCACTCTTCAGCTTCAGGATGCTGCGTAACCTCTCCCAGCAACAGCCAAAGGTTTCTTCAGCTCAAAACGAGCCATCAAGCTAAGCCAAAATGCAAAACTCAAAGCTTGCAAACTTAATGCCTTGTTATACGTAGGAGCTGATAACAGACCCAATTAACTTGTTGCAGATGTAACAGATAAGGTTCTGTTCCTCCTTGTAACTTAGAAAAAGCCTGTTGTAAACTCCTAGTATCAACAGGAAAGGGCGAGGTGGAGGGGGAGCATCCCCTGTACATTTGGTGGGGTCACCCTAAGGAATTGGCCTAGTTGCACCGGAACCAAAGCTTAATTATGATGGACAGGAGGCCTGCCCTATGACTGCAAACAGATAACAGAAAGGAAATAAAGTTGGAGCTCCTGGTACAGCCGTACCAGCACAAACATCACAAGTTTCCTGTTTAAAATGTTGACCATTTCCTCTCCCTTGGCAGCCACCACTCCACAAAAGTCAACATTGACACTGAAATACAACACCCTTCAACAAAGTCAACAATAAGGTGGCCGCTTCCCCTTCTCACCGGAGTGATGACGGTCAGGTCTGGGAGGTGGCTGCCCCCGGCACAGGGGTGGTTGCTCAGGATTACGTCCCCCTCCTGGATCTCCGGGCCCAGGTTCCGGATCTATAGGGGGAGAAGTATCATAATACAGGGGGAGTAAAGGAGGAGGAGAAGCCTGGGGCCGCAAGGGCAAAGGGAACACAAAGGCCTGACCTTGCAAACCCATAATAATAATAATAATAATAATAATAATAATAATAATAATAATAATACCTGTTCAATGCATGGTTCTAAATGGTTCTAAAGTACTTACAAAACTAAAGTCGTGGTGGTGAAAATTTCAGAACTCTAACAACACTTTCAAAATTTAATTATGATTTCATTGTATTGTCGAAGGCTTCCATGGCTGGAATCACTGGGTTGTTGTAGGTTTTTTCGGGCTATATGGCCATGTTCTAGAGGCATTCTCTCCTGACGTTTCGCCTGCATCTATGGCAAGCATCCTCAGAGGTAGTGAGGTCTGTTGGAACTAGGAAAAGGGGTTTATATATCTGTGGAATGACCAGGGTGGGACAAAGGACTCTTGTCTGCTGGAGCTAGGCGTGAATGTTTCAACTGACCACCTTGATTAGCATTTGATTGCCTGGCAGTGCCTGGGGCAAATTTTTGTTGAGAGGTGATTAGATGTCCTTGTTTGTTTCCTCTCTGTTGTTGTGCTGTTGTAATTTTAGAGTTTTTTTTAATACTGGTAGCCAGATTTTGTTCATTTTCAGGGTCTGATGAGCTTTGGAGTTGTAGTTCAGTTGCATCCAGAGAGGACTGTGGACTAAAACAATGATAGATCTGGACCAAACTTAGCAGAAATACTCAATATGCCCAAATGTGAACACTGGTGGAGTTTGGGGAAAATAGACCTTCCTTCCTTTTCTCTTTCCCTCCTTCCTTCCTTCCCTTCCTTTCCCCTTTCATTATGATTTCATTGTTGGCAATTTTTATGACAGAACCAATTAGGAACTGCCATTTCTAATGAAATTTTGAGAGTTTTGTTAGAGTTCTGAAATTTTCACCACCAGAACTTTAGTTTTGTAAGTATTTTAGAACCATTTAGAACCATGCATTGAACAGACCTAATCATCATCATCATCACCATCATCACAGTCCAGGTGCCCATGCCTTTCACCAAATCCTGGGTATAACAACAACAACAACAACAACAACAACAACAGTGCAGGAGCCCATGCCTTTCACCAAGTTTCTGTGTATCGTCGTTGTCGTCATCATCATTATCATTGTCTTTATTTGTATCCCGCTCCCTCTCCCAGAAGGGACTCGAGGCAGCTTACCAGAAAAATCCAATAGACATAGTAATAATGGCAACCAAAAACAAAATTTGGCAACAGGGAAAGGCTTCTTATTGCCACCTAGTGACTGTTTTAGATATTTACATGAATCTGCCGAGCTGTTGCACCTCAGACTAGATTCACCTTGCTCAAAACACCAAATTGCACACAGCCAGAAGTCTTTATAGTTTATTAAAAATAAAAGGTAAAAAGTTCTTAAAAGCAAAGGTAATGTTCCAAAAGATCAATACAAAATAACACTTTGAAGCTTGATCCAAAAAGGCACCAGCAAAGCAAAATCCCATCAGAACATGACTAAGTCCTGAAACCATGAACACAAGAACTGCAAGACAATCCAGACAAGCAAAGGCAAGCTTCTTGGTTAAACGAAAAGTTGCTTTGACAAAGGTTTGGCTCCAAACACACTGCTTAATATCCTTTGCAAAACATGAAGGCGTTTCTTTGACCTCTGGCCTCCTTCTTGTTAGCTATTCTCACACTCCTTCGAACTCTGAATTCCAAACGGTCAACCCGATCTAAGGTTCCCGTTTCGTCAAGATTGACGAAACATTCACACCTAGCTCCAGCAGACAGGAGTCCTTTGTTCCATCTTTGTCATTCCACAGATATATCAACCCTTTTTCCTAGTTCCAACAGACCTCACTACCTCTGAGGATGCTTGCCATAGATGCAGGCGAACCGTCAGGAGAGAATGCCTCTAGAACATGGCCATATAGCCCGAAAAAACCTACAACAACCCGAAAATCTTATAGTTGTTTTGCAATGAGATGGGTCAGTAGTTTTTAATTTCTGTGGAAGCGATATTTTCTTTATGGATTAATGTTATGTTGGCCATTTCCCAGGATTTAGGAAGTTCTTCATTTTCTAGTATATTATTAAGTATATCTTTTAGTAGTGGACCTAATTCATTTTTGAAGGTCTTGTAAAAAAAATTGCAGTATACCCATCTGGGCCTGATGCCTTATTATTTTTCAATTTAGAAATTGCATTGTCGATTTTGAACATTGTCATTGGGCCATTCAGTATTTCTCTTTGGGTGTCAGTTAATTTAGTTAGGTTTAGATTGCAAAGGTGTTTTGTGCCGTCACACCCAGACCCTATAAAAATAAAACTAAGATGTGCTTCTCTCTTTGTCTGGGCGGACCGCGGGGGTCTTTCTTTAGAAGCTTGAGATTCCCAGCAACTGAGGCTACTACAGGCTTGGAACATCAAAACAGAATATTTATTTCTCAAAGTCCTTGCAGGCTTGGCACAGCTTGTCAAAGTTACAAACAAAACAGTCAGTTGGTGAAACCACAGAGATGATCTGCCTTTCTTTTCCTTGATTTACTGAGGCAAATTTTCTCCAAAAGGCAGAAGAAGTTCCTGGGACCTTTTCACCCTAACCCTGAGCAGCTATGGTTAGAAAAAAGCAGTTTTTTTTCCCTCTCTATAGCTCAAGGTCACATCATGAGGAGACAGGAAAGCCTAGAGAAGACAATTATGCTGGGGAAAGTGGAAGGCAAAAGGAAGAGGGGCCGACCACGGGCAAGATCCTCGCACCCCCCCATCACCCCCCCCCCCGACCCCCCACCCCCCCCGACCGCGACCACCCCCCCCCCCCCCCGACCCCCCCCCCCCCCCCCCCCCACCCCGCCCCCCCCCCCCCCCCCGACCCCGCCCCCCGCCCCCGACCGCCGCCCCCCCCCCCCCCCCCCCCCCCCCCCCCCCCCCCCCCCCCCCCCCCCCCCCCCCCGCCCCCCCCCCCCCCCCCCCCCCACCCCCCCGCCCCCCCCCCCGCCCCCCCCCCCCCCCCCCCCCCCCCCCCCCCCCCCCCCCCCCCCCGACCCCCCCCCCCCCCCCCCCCCCCCCCCCCCCCCCCCCCCCCCCCCCCCCCCCCCCCCCCCCCCCCCCCCCCCCGCCCCCCCCCCCCCCCCCCCCCCCCCCCCCCCCCCCCCCCCCCCCCCCCCCCCCCCCCCCCCCCCCACTCCCCCCCCCCCGCACCCGCCGCCCCCCCCCCCCCCCCCCCCCCCCCCCCCCCCCCCCCCCCCCCCCCCCCCCCCCCCCCCCCCCCCCCCCCCCCCCCCCAGCCCCCCCACCCCCAGCCCCCCCACCCCCCCCCCCTGAAAATTTTTTAGCCCCATGCCTTCTGACAAAGGGCCCTGTGAATTGTATTGAATTAGCAGATGGATGGATGGCATCCTTGAAGTGACTGGACTGACCTTGAGGGAGCTGGGGGTGGTAACGGCCGACAGGGAGCTCTGGCGTGGGCTGGTCCATGAGGTCACGAAGAGTCGGAGACGACTGAACGAATGAACAACAACAAATAGCTCAAGGTTAGCTTTGGAGATGAAATAATGCTCAATATATAACTCAGTATCTATCCTATCTATCTCTATAGTACTCAATAGCTTCTCTATCTAAATCTCAATATGCTTCTATATAACTCAATTAACTATTTCTCAATACTAAATGTATTTATTTCTCAATCTAATTAACTCACTCTTTCTACCTATTTCTCAATAGTTCTTATAATGGTTTTCTCAGAGTACCTGCCTGGCCAACAGCACATCTGAAGCTTTCTTTCTCAACTGAAGGAGGCAGGGGAGATTCCAAAATTGCTCAATTACTCAATTGCTATTCTATCTATCTATCTATCTCAATTAGCTTCTTTATCTATATAACTCGATATCAATCTTTCTACCTATAACTCAATTAATATCTATATCTCAATCATAGAATCAAAGAGTTGGAAGAGACCTCATGGGCCATCCAGTCCAACCCCATTCTGCCAAGAAGCAGGAATATTGCATTCAAATCACCCCTGACAGATGGCCATCCAGCCCCTGTTTAAAAGCTTCCAAAGAAGGAGCCTCCACCACACTCTGGGGCAGAGAGTTCCACTGCTGAACGGCTCTCACACTCAGGAAGTTCTTCCTCGTGTTCAGATGGAATCTCCTCTCTTGTAGTTTGAAGCCATTGTTCCGCGTCCTAGTCTCCAAGGAAGCAGAAAACAAGCTTGCTCCCTCCTCCCTGTGGCTTCCTCTCACATATTTATACATGGCTATCATATCTCCTCTCAGCCTTCTCTTCTTCAGGCTAAACATGCCCAGCTCCTTAAGCTGCTCCTCATAGGGCTTGTTCTCCAGACCCTAGTCTCCAGGGAAGCAGAAAACAAGCTTGCTCCCTCCTCTTCCCTGTGGCTTCCTCTCACATATCTATACATGGCCCTCATCATGTCTCCTCTCAGCCTTCTCTTCTTCAGGCTAAACATGCCCAGCTCCCCAAGCCGCTCCTCATAGGGCTTGTTCTCCAGACCCTTGATCATTTTAGTCGCCCTCCTCTGGACACATTCCAGCTTGTCAATATCAGACCCAATATTACTCAATCGCTCAATTGCTATTCTATCTATCTATCTTAATTGTTCTTACAATGGTTTTTTCAGAGTTACCTGCCTGACCAACACCACATCTGAAGCTTTCTTCTCTACTGAAGGAGGCAGGGGAGATTCCAAAATGGAGATCTCAACCCAGGAAAAAAGGCGGTCCCTAGACCCAAAGAGATACTTTTCTAAACCAATAGCTGCAAAAGGAGCTGGGGGTGGTGACGGCCGACAGGGAGCTCTGGCGTGGACTGGTCCATGAGGTCACGAAGAGTCGGAGACGACTGAACGAATGAACAACAACAAGCTGCAGGCTGGCTTTGCAGACTCTGATTCTGTTTAACTTCCAGGGTGCTGCTGGTCTGTAGCAGCCCTGGGGAAATGCAAAAGAACACTATCCCATGCAACTAAAAGGTAAGGCAAACGGAACATGTTTCATTGTTTGTTCTTTTTTAAAATACCCAAAGGCCAGTCTCCATTTTCTAGTGAACTCTTCATTATTTGCTCCCCTTAAGCCATTGGAGAGCTTCGCCATTTGAATATACTGGGCTAATTGTTGGATGGGGCCGCACTCCCCCTGAAGACGCAGGTTCGCAGCTTGGGTGTGACCCTGGACTCATCGCAGAGCCTGGAACCCCAGGTTTCGGCGGTGATCAGGGGAGCATTTGCACAGCTAAAGCTTGTGCGCCAGCTGCGCCCGTACCTTGGGAAGTCTGACTTGGCCACGGTAGTCCACGCTCTGGTTACATCCCGTAGACTACTGCAACGCTCTCTATGTGGGGTTGCCTTTGAAGACAGCTCGGAAGCTTCAACTAGTCCAACGCTCAGCAGCCATGATTCTAACAGGAGCGGAGCACAGGGAGCATACAACCCCCCTGTTGCGCCAACTCCACTGGCTACCGATCTGCTACCGGGCTCAATTCAAAGTGCTGGCGTTGGCCTTTAAAGCCCTAAACGGTTCCGGCCCAAGCTACCTATCCGACCGCATCTCTGCCTATGAACCCACCAGGACTTTGAGATCTTCCGGGAGACCCTGCTCTCGATCCCGCCTGCTTCTCAAGCTCGGCTGGCGGGGACGAGAGATAGGGCCTTCTCGGTGGTGGCTCCTCGGCTGTGGAACGCCCTTCCTACGGACATTAGACTAGCACTATCTCTAATGGTATTCCGCAAAAAGGTGAAGACCTGGATGTTTGTGCAGGCGTTTGAGTAATTTAGTGCAATCTGGTAATGGAACATAGGAATGGAACAATGGACGACGAACCTGGACTACGCTTGGATGATGAGAAGATTGGGTACGGTTGTTTTTTGTAATAATTGTGCATTGTAATTGCTTATTGGTAATTTATGGATAATGTGTTAAGTCAATTGTTATATGTTGCTATGGAACCACTGCTGTTTCTACTGTTTTTACTGTTTGTGAACCGCTGTGAGTCGCCTTCGGGCTTGAGATACAGCGGTATATAAGCAAAGTAAATAAATAAATAATTTTCTTCTCCAACCACCAAGCATGGAAGAAGGTGCCTTTTCGCATTTTGCATCTCCAACCTCCTTCCCAAAGAGTTTTATCGTTTTCAGCCATTAAGTCAGGAGTTACATAACTTCTTTTAGAACAGTTCCCTACCTGGAACTGGATGGTCTCCTGCATGGCGCCCAGGTGGACCGGGATGTGGGGGGCGTTGGAGACCAGGCCCCCGCCCGGCCCAAAGAGCGCGCAGGAGAAGTCCAGGCGCTCCTTGATGTTGGTGGAGATGGCCGTGCGCTGGAGGACGCGCCCCATCTGCTCTGGAGAGGAAGGAACCAAAAGGGCTTCATCAGGATCCATGGGAGGCACACCGTTGGCGATGGTGACCTCTCGTGCCTTGATGAGCCTCATCTATACTTATCGAGACACAAGACTCTTCCAGCGTTGGAAAATTCTGAAGCTTTAGATTCAGTCAGAACAAACCTTATACCTCTGGGTGTTTGGACTTCCACAACTCCTGAAAGCCAGGAGGCTGTTAGGAATTGTGGGAGTTGAAATCGAAAACACTCCGAGGGCCAAAGTTTGCTCATGGCTGCTTTAGAAGTTCTGGAATGTACCTCGTAGCAGCCATACCCTACAAAACGTATCAATTTGATGCTTTTGTATAACTTGTATCTTTTATATACTGTGTATAAACTGTATTGTCGAAGGTTTTCATGGCCGGAATCACTGGGTTGTTGTAGGTTTTTTCGGGCTGTATGGCCACGGTATAGAGGCATTCTCTCCTAACATTTCGCCTGCATCTATGGCAAGCATCCTCAGAAGTAGTGAGATCTGGGGAATGCTGGGGCGGCGGGCACACAGAGCCCCCATGACCCACTCCACATCCTACTTCAATTTGGAAGAGGGCAAACCATGGATGATGGGACTTGAAGTACCTCCACTCACTTCCCGAGACCGCTGCAACCCTCATCCAATGACCAATCAAGACCAAACTTGGCACACGTAACCCCCGCCTCCCCAGCATTCCCCAGGCCTCACTACCTCTGAGGACGCTTGCCACAGATGCAGGCAAAACATCAGGAGAGAATGCCTCTAGACCATGGCCATACAGCCCGAAAAAACCTACAACAACCCTGTGTATAAACTGTTTGTAATATATCTATGTAACCTGATGGTAGCCACCTCTTCCTGGCTCCTGTTTGCATAATTCCTTGGGAAAGGAGACTGTAGCTAGGATCCCTCCAGCCATTTCCCAAGCCAGGTAACTATCAGACCCCTTGTAGAATCATAGAATCCTAGAGTTGGAGGAGACCTGGTGGGCCATCATCCAGTCTAACCCCATTCTGCAAAGAAGCAGCAGGAAAATCACCTTCAAAGCACCCCCGACAGATGGCCATCTAGCCTCTACTTAAAAGCCTTCAAAGAAGGAGCCTCTACCACACTTTGGGGCAGAGAGTTCCACTGCTGAACAGCTCTAACAGTCAGAAAGTTCTTCCTAATGCTCAGGTGGAATCTCCTTTCCGGATAGTGATCTATAGTACATTTTTTCTTTAAGGCATCCTTTCATAGAATCATAGAATCAAAGAGTTGGAAGAGACCTCATGGGCCATCCAGTCCAACCCCATTCTGCCAAGAAGCAGGAATATTGCATATTGACACATAGTCATAAGGTCTCTGCCTTCTCTTCTGAGAATTAAACAAACCCAGCTTTTTAAGCCACTCCTCATAGGGATTATTCATGGTCTCTGGACCTTTGATCATTTTATTTGCCCTCTTCCTCTAGATACCTTCCAGCTTCTGGTGGAAGGTATCTCGTGGTGCCCAACATTGGATATGGGTTTATTATTGCAGGTAGAGAGGGCTGACCAAAGCAGAACAGAGAAGCACCATGACTTCCCTCGATCTGGACACTAGACTCCTTTGGATGCAGCCCAGAATCCCTTTAGATGGAGCATCACACTCTTGGCTCATGTTCAACATACTGTAGAACACATATGTATCTGAGAACACATATGTTGTGTCCAGGTTGGTTCATCAGATGCTCTGCTATGGATTCCAATATCTTTTTCACATGTTCTGTTTTTGAGCCAGGTGCCACCCACTCTGTATCTATCATGAAAATATCTTTGCAGATGTCATAAATGTGAATTTAATATGATGTGTGGGAATAAATGGAAGGATGCATGAGTGGAGTTAATAATTTTGGAAACACCAATTCTAATTTTGGAAACACCAGCAAAAGACCCAGGCCTGCAATGACTAACTACCTGCTTGGTGGACTGTAATTAAAAGTTGCAAATAAGAACTGGAAAGTAAACTCTGGTAAGAACTGGGACAGTGATAACAGAAATGTTTACAATGTTAAGAAGGATGTCAACATAAGATCAACACCAATCAAGAAGAATCAACATCTGGCCAGGAAACTGAGATGGAGCCAGGATGGAAGACGTCTATCATTAATTTACAACATTGGGACGACATCAGCAGAATCTCTCTCTATAAAAACCTACAACAACCCAGTGATTCCGACCATGAAAGCCTTCGACAATATATAAAAATGCTCTGTGCATAATGAGTACCTTAAAAACAAAAGAACCAATGAACGAAATCACACAAAATTTGGCAACAAAATGTCTCACAACACAAGGAGTGACCATCACTCAAAAAAGGATGGTTTTGTTATTTGGGATTTATAGTTCACTTATAATCAGAGCATTCTGAACTCCACCAACGATGGAATTGAACCAAACTTGGCACACAGGACTCCCCTGACCAACAGAAAACACTAGAAGGGTTTGGTGGGCATTGACCTTGATTTTGGGAGTTGTAGTTCACCTACATCTAGAGAGCACTGTGGACGCAAACAATGATGGATCTGGACCAAACTTGGCACGAATACTCAATATGCCCAAATATGAGCACAGATGGAGTTTGGGGGAAATAGACCCTGACATTTGTGAGTTGTAGTTACTGGGATTTATAGTTCACCTACAATCAAAGAGCATTCTGAACCTCACCAGTGACAGAACTGGGGCAAACTTCCCACACAGAGCCCCCATGACCATCAGAAAATACTTAAGGCCACCCAGTCCAACTCCCTTCTTCACCAGGGCAAGAAAACGTAATCAAAGCCCTCCTGACAAAGAGCCATCCAGCCATAGATATAGATAGATAGATAGATAGATAGATAGATAGATAGATAGATATGATTCACACACAGAGAGATATAGTATCATAGATTTGAAAGGGACCCTTAAAGAAGGACAATTATGTGTTGTGTGTTCCAGAGTAGGCAAACTAAACAATCTCCACATCAACACTGACAAAGAATTAGCAATAAATACTGTTTACCCACAAACAGAAAGACATTACATACATTACAAACCAACACTTTCTCATTACTTTATATTCCACATCACCAGACTGGGCCACAGCAACTCGTGGCAGGGGGGCAGCTAGTATTCCTATAAAAGACTCGATCTAATAATGCTCAAAGTGTGCCCAACCAGCTCTCAAATCCGTTGAGGTCACTTTGAATTCTGATTCTGCCCCCTGAAGTCTTCGCTCTCCCTCCCAATTTGGTGTCATCTGCAAACTTGATCATGATGTATTACCTCGTGGCTCAAGGCAGGTACAGTGTGGAGATGAGGAAACCACCTGAGCCAACCAACGCAGAGAGCGACCCCCCCCCCCACACACACACACACACACTCGACTCCCGATCTCACCTGCAATGCTCATGAAGCGGTGGGAGAAGATGGAGAGCTGGATGGGGTCCACCTGAGGCCCCACTGCCCACTGGGCCCCAGAGCCCACCTCAATGCAGATGTCCCCACGGCGAGTGATGGAAGCCCTGCAGCCGGGCTCCACCAGGATGGTGCTGAAGGAAGGGCAAAAGAAGGTCAAGAAGGGGTCAATGGGGACACTCCACCCCATTCACTGGATCCCCCCCCCTTACAGTCCCTGCTCCTCACCTGTTCTTGTCGATGAGGAGGCTGGGCCCCGGGACGGAGTGGCCCCAGGTGAGGCCCTCCAGCAGGTAGACCCCCGTCTCCAGGTAGCCCCCCTCGAAGTAGCAGCGAGTCACCTGCGGTGGAAGTTTGCGTAGAGGAAAAAAGAGAGGGAAGAAAGAGAGCAATCTATAGTAAATTTTGTACACAGAAATACTAACCTACTCACAAACAGATGGATTCAATTGCCATTATAAGATAAAGTTTGACAATGAACTGAACTGGAAAAGAGAGTGAAAAGAAATAAGTTCTTCTGGATTGTTCTTCTGGATTGTTCCTTTTAAAGAAGGAAAAAGGAGAATTCCGCAGATATATAAACCCAATTTTCCTAGTTCCAACAGACCTCACTCCCTCTGAGGATGCTTGCCATAGATGCAGGTGAAACATCAGGAGAGAATGCCTCTAGAACATGGCCATACAGCCCCAAAAAAAACCTACCAACTAAAACTAACTAGACTCCTCTGGGCGCACAGAGACTCACACTGGTTTTTCAGCTGTTGCATCACACTCCTGACTCAAGTTCAGCTTGCGGTCTCCTAAGACTCCTAGATCCCTTTTGCATGGACTGTTTACAAGTGTCAGGCAGGATATTCAATGAATCAGTGTATGCCTCAATGGGAGATCCCTACTGTTTCCATGCGGGGTGGTCCTTTGCTGGCCGGCACAGGCTCCTCCTGCCCCAGCCCGGAACTGGCGGTGCCCCGGACCCTGATGTCATCCACCAAAATGGCCCGGTTGGGAATGGTGAAGCCGAATTCCTGCTGGTACCTGGTGGACATACAGAGCAGAGGAGATGGGTTATGTTGTTGCTTCCATCATGCAAGACCCAAGGAAGGAGGTCAAGGTTAGGGGGGTGGAGTGACCATGCCTGCGGACCTACTTGGCAGCAAAGGCAGCCCCAAAGTCCCCTCGTCGACAGGACCCCAGAGTGGGCGGGTGGCCCCTGGCGGAGCACATGAGGGCACAGTCCGTCCGCTCGTAGCGCAGGTGCAGGAAGGTCTCCGTGCCGATCTGGGACCTGGGGTGGGAGGAAATTATTGATTATTGGTGGCATTATAGGCCAGGAAAATAATTCCAATGCCATGTACTAGATAGAATTAGTAACAGAAGAGTTGAATTACTCAGGGCATGTCCAGATGACATGTCCAGCCAGATGAATGCAATATTCGAAGGTGTCACCACAGATAGGAAACCTCATAGGAAACCTGCTACAAAACAGGAGCTTTTTTGTTGAGTTCCAGGGCCAGAGAAGCAGATGGCGGAAACAGAAGAACGGCCTGCCTCAGGGGAGCGTGCTTGCTCCATCCATGTTCAACATCTACACAAATGACCAGCCACTGCCAGAAGGGACAGAGAGGTTCATCTATGCTGATGATTGTGCCATCACCGCCCAAACAGGGAGCTTTGAGACTGTAGAACAGAAGCTCTCCGAAGCTCTAGGTGCTCTTACTGCCTATTACAGGGAAAACCAGCTGATCCCTAATCCATCTAAAACACAGACATGTGCTTTTCATCTCAAGAACAGAGAAGAATCCCGAGCTCTGAGGATCATTACCTGGGAAGGAATCCCCCCGGAGCATTGCAACGCACCCAAGTACCTGGGAGTCACTCTGGACCGTGCTCTGACCTACAAGAAGCACTGCCTGAACATCAAGCAAAAAGTGAGTGCCAGAAACAATATCATACGAAAGCTGACTGGCACAACCTGGGAATCACAACCAGACACAGTGAAGACATCTGCCCTTGCGCTATGCTACTCTGCTGCTGAGTCTGCATGCCCAGTGTGGAACACATTTCACCACGCTAAAACAGTAGATGTGGCTCTTAATGAGACACGGAGTGTCTGCGCCCTACACCACTGGAGAAATTACACTGCTTAGCTGGTATTGCACCACCTGACATCCGCCGGGAAGTTGCAGCCAATAGACAAAGGACCAAGGCAGAGACATCTCCGGCTCATCCCGTTTGGGTATCAGCCAGCACGTCAACGACTTAAATCAAGACATAGTTTTCTAAGATCTACAGAGACACTCGCTGGAACACCTCAGCAAGCGGGAGTCCAAAAGTGGCAGGCTCAAACCCAGAACCTCAATCAATGGCTGATACCAAATGAGAGACTCACTCCTGGCAACTTGGAAGGCGCTGAACAGACTGCGCTCTAGCACCACGAGATGCAGAGCCAACCTCAAGAAATGGGGCCACAAAGTGGAGTCCACGACATGCGAGTGCGGAGAAGAGCCAACCACTGACCACCTGCTGCAATGCCACCTGAGCCCTGCCAAATGCACAATGGAGGACCTCCTTGCGGCAACACCAGAGGCACTCCAAGGGGCCAGAGACTGGTCAAAGGACAACTACCAAGCTTGCAAACTTTGTGCTTTGTTTGTTTGTTTGTTAAAAAAATGCAATTGCTCCTGACACAATAAATAAATAAGCAACGAAGGGCAATTTATTTATTTATTGTATCAGAAGCAAATAAGGTACAGTTGTAATGTGTTTAGAAAGCACAACATTTTAAAAGTTGACATTCTATTAAATGTCCTTTGACCAGGAGCTGGCCACTTGGAGTGGCTCTGCTGTTGCTATAAGAAGGTCCTCCGTTGTGCACGTGGTAGGGCTCTCTTTGACATTTTGAAGTCAGCAGAGGGTGCTGGAAACCATGTTATGGAACTTGTGAAGTAACAAGTTCTAATAAGGAAACTGAGAAGAGGGGGAGATTATTATTATTATTATTATTATCTTTATTTGTACCCCGCTAGCCTCTCCCGAAGGACTCGATGCGGCTTACAAAGGCCAAGGCCTCAACACAACAACAACAGACAATAACAATACGATGCAAAGCAAATTAAAAACATAAGCAATAACAACAACAAAACATTACACTATTACGCAATAAAAACAGGGCCGGGCCAATGAAGGGTACAGGTTAAAAGTGCTGGGTGTAAGAGGTGATATGTTGGGATTCTGGGCAAGTGCAATGTGCAGGGAGTCTTAAACTCAATAAAGTGCTTCTGGGACGTAGTGCTGGGGTTTATCCTATTCTGGAAAGGCACGTCGGAATAGCCAGGTCTTCAAGTTCTTCCTAAAGACTGCCAGCGTGGATGCTAGTCTAATGTCTTTGGGGAGGGAGTTCCAAAGTCGGGGGGCAACCACAGAGAAGGCCCTGTCCCTCGTCCCCACCAAACGAGCCTGCGACGCAGGTGGGATCGTGAGCAGGGCCTCTCCAGATGAATGGAGGGAGCGTGTGGGTTCGTATATGGAGATGTGGTCACGCAGGTAGGCAGGTCCCAAACTGTTTAGGGCTTTGTAGGTAAGCACCTGCACCTTGAATTGGGCTCGGTAGGTAAACGGCAGCCAGCGGAGCTGTACAGAAGTGTTTATAATAATATGCTTATAACTGTATTTATGTTTGTATTGGTTGCCCTTAGGCTGGAGCGGCCTAGCTGTTAGGAATGTGTTACCATGGAAACGAGGCAGAAGAGGAGGTGGGAGGAGCTTAGAGAGTTAAGGTTTTTGAAAAGTGACAGTTAGAGTCAGTCAGGGTTTTAGGCTCAGGGAAGAGCAGGTCAGGATTGAGACTCTGAGAAGTGAAGAGTCAGGTTTCAGTGTTCGTGAATAGTAGAGATTTCTTCAGTTAGGAAGCTGAAGGGGAAAACCTTGTTAGTTGCTTTAGTTAGAAAGAACTAACAGAGGCTGTTAAGATCGCTAGTCGGGAGAAGACTAGAGATCTGTTGTTTGATCAAGGATAGATCAAACAGGGAGACTATTCACTGCAGGGAACACTGGTTAATAAAGTGCTTCACCACAGCAAGAGTTCATAAGTTGTAACATCGAAAGTCTGAATTGTATCGCAACCAAGTTACATGTAACCTTCAATTATTTGCCAAGCTTAACATCATCATACTGCAACCATACGCTTTGTTTAAAAATAAACTTGTTCTCTTTGGTTTTTGAAACTGCCTCATCTCCATTAATTCTACGTTCGTGTACCCAATCTCCCAAAATTACCTCACAACACAAACAGGGTGGCATCCAGTGGTATTAATACCAGAGCCTTTTACAAATCGGTGGCTCCTCTCTCCTAAACCTAAGGGTCTTCCTCACTAATTGCTGGCGATCTTTTACCACCTGGTAGCCGTCTCTTTACAGGAGCTCCTTAAACAGATGGGCAAAAATGGTGTATAAAAGGAAGTGGTAGTGGGGAAAAGTCAGTAGTGTCTTTCTTTGCTGCAGAGATACAAGCAATATATCCATTTCAAAGCAAAACCGGCTTGTGAGTGGTCATTTAATATTGCTATATAGATCCTACAGACTGACAGCTGTGGAATTAATGCAATTTGCAATGGCTCAATGATATGGCATACTGGGAGTTGTAATTCTAAAAGTTCTTTAGCCTTCTCTGCCAAAGAGTGCTGGTGCATTGCATTGTACACTTCTTGAAATGAATTAAGAATGATGCATTAATTATTATCCACTCCTGAGATCTGCCGCTAACTCCATTATTTATTTATTTATTTACCTTACTTCTATACGGCTGTTCTCAGCCCGAAGGCGACTCACAGCGGTTCACAACAAATACGAACAGCAAAAATTCAGTGCTACAGTATAAAAGCAGTTAACAACCTAACACATTACACAATTAATAAACAGTTACTACAATACCCATTCACTGTCGTCTCGTCATCAAAAACATGTTCCAGATTCGTCATCCATTGTTCCATTCCAGTGTTCATTAACCAATCATTGCACTAATTATTCGAACGCCTGCTCAAACAGCCAGGTCTTCACTTTTTTGCGGAATACCATTAGAGATGGTGCTAGTCTAATGTCTGTAGGAAGGGCATTCCACAGCCGAGGAGCCACCACCGAGAAGGCCCTATCTCTCGTCCCCGCCAGCCATCATCTCACCTTGCTCTGGTCTCTGGTATCTTCAGCCCCCTTTGAACTCTCAAAGTCTTCTGTAGGTAGTCCCTCTGCAGAGATTGACTGCTTGGTGTCAGTTCTGCCCTCCCTCCCTTACTTGTGCCTGACTGGTAAGGTGTCCCTGGAACTGCCACTTTCCCTCTTGGGACCCACCTGGCAAAGCCCTGGGCCTCCAGTTCCTTCAGGCAGACCTCCTCCAAGGCAGCAATCCGCTGGTCCAGCTGGTCAAAGGCCTCGGGGGTGTAGGCAAGAGCGCAGGGCTCCTGGGCCTCATGGACCACGTCCGCCAGTGCCAGGCCATATGCCGAGAGGATCCCACTGTACCTGCAGGAAGGGGGGGGGACGAGGATGGAGAAGCACCTACGCTTGGACATGTGGAGCATTCAGGGACGGAGGAAACTACGTCATGCTTCAAGAAGGCAGGGGTTTTGCCCAAACCAAAGCGGCCAAAGAGCCCCCTCCCCAGAAGACCCTGCCTTGCTTCCCACAGAACACAGCGACTACAGGAAGGGGCTGGGTCTTCTCCATCTGTCCCTCAACTTACCCTTTCTTCTGCTGGTCCTCCTGTTTTCTAGAGACCCACCCCTGTTTTGGACCCACTAGTCCAGTGTTTCTCAACCTGGGGGTCGGGACCCCTGGGGGGGGTCGCGATGGGGTGTTGGAGGGGTCGCCTAAGACCATCAGGATACACAGTATTTTCTGCTGGTCATGGGAGTTCTGTGTGGGAAGTCTGGCCCAATTCTATTGTTGGTGGGGTTCAGAATGCTCTCTCATAGGGCTGGGCGGTTTCGTTTCGTTAATTCGTAATTCGTTAATAATTCGTTATTTTTTTTCAATTACAAAACAATAACGAACCATTCTGGAGCAATTTTTTTAAAAAACGAATTTTTAAACACGTTTTGTAAATGCTTCGTATTTCATTATTGTATTCGTTTCGTTATTGTTCTGAGGTCGTTTCGTTATTATTTCCGCATGTCTGGGGCAAATTTTTTGTTTAATTAGTGAAAAAAAATTATAATATCACACCAACAGTCAACAACAGAGGGAGAGGGAAGCTTCAGAAGTTTTTGGAGGTTTTTTAGCGTATTTCGCGGTCGCGTCCGCCATTAACGAATCGATTCGTTATTGTTTCGGAAATCGATTCGTTAATGTTTTGTAATTTTTTTCACATTTACGAAATTTCGTAAATACCGAACTTTTTAAAAGGAAAATTTTGTAATTATTTTAAATATCGAAACAAAAAAAACCCCAAATACAAATCGATTTTAGAAACAAATTTTTCCGTTGTTACCCAGGCCTCATTGTAGGTGAACTATAAATCCCAGCAACTACAACTCCGAAATGTCAAGATCTATTTTCCCAAAACTCCCAACAGTGATCACATTTGGGCATATTGAGTATTCATGCCAAGTTTAGTCCAGATCTATCAATGTTGGAGTCCACGGTGCTTTCTGGAGATAGGTGAACTACAACTCCCAAACTCAAAGCCAATGCTCACCTAACCCTTTCATTATTTTTTGCTGGTCATGGGCATTCTGTGTGCCAAGTTTGGGTCAATTCCATCTCTGGTGGAGTTCAGAATTTGATTGTAGGTGAACTATAAATCCCAGCAACTACAACTCCCAAGGTCCAGAGAATGAAAATACATCCTGCCTATCAGATAGTTACATGACGATTCATAACAGTAGCAAAATTCCAGTTATGAAGTAGCAACGGAAATATTTTTAGGGTTGGGGGTCACCACAACACGAAAAAACTGTATTAAGGGGTCGCGGCGTTAGGAAGGTTGAGAACCACTGCACTAGTCCCTCACTTAGTGGCAGTTTCGAGGAGCAAACCCTCCCTCCTTCCCTGGTGCTCCAAGGGCATGGTGGGCTTTTTCATCAATGTGCACAACACCTACTTGTGGATGAAGACCTTGCTCATGCCCAGCGCCCGGGCAATGGCACAAGCGTGCTGGCCCCCCGCTCCGCCAAAGCAAGCCAGCACGTGCCGAGAGGTGTCATGGCCCCGGGCCTACAGAAGAGGAGGAGGAGGAGGAGGAAAAAAGAAGACAATGAGAAGGAAGGACAGAAGGAAGGAAGTATTGGGTTTCATCATTGGACTGCACTAGTCTCTAGTGTCATCAAGTTTCCAGTCCTCAATGAGCAGCTAGCTAGAGACTGTGCAAAGCTGAGTGTTTCCTTTCCCACTTCCCCATGCATGTTTCCCAAAATGGCTTTGTGCTGGTACGGCTGTACCAGGAGCTCCAACTTCATTTCTTCCTATTGAGTGTTTGCATGCAATCCAAGGTTCCATGCATTTTGCAAAAGGTGACTTCCCTTGGTTTGCAGTCATAGGGCTAACCACCTGTCTATCATTGTTAAGTTTTGATTCCACCCCTTTTTCCAGGGCTCTGGGAGGGAAAGGGAACCATTTTTAGTTCAGTCTTAAAGTGGAAAGCTTAGCTACAGGACGTGGATCAGCTCCATCTGTTGACAAGCTTCGTTTCTCACAGCATCCGGGGGAAACAGCTCCACATCTTTCGTGGAAAAGATCCAAAAGAACTGCAGCTGGAGAATCTACAAAGCCTTGGCTGGTAGGTCTACTCGGGTAACCAGAAGCAATTGGAGCCGGGAGTAGAGCCCACACCAGGAAGCATAGAAAGTAGATTGCCTGGGAGGGGTTGAAAAGGGTTTTCCTTGTTAAAGAAAAGAAACAGTTCACAAAGCCAGTTACCTGTCCATTTGGGCAAGTTAAGAAGCATTTGTTTGACTTGTTGAAGATCTGAGATGTGTTTGTTTAAATTGTTGAAGATCTAAGCAATAATAAAGGACTTTGTTAAACTTTTCAAGCATCTAAAGACTTTTGTATAGGAAAATCCTTAGGGCCTCTCAGCCAAGGCAACCTGGCTTCCCGCTGGGCACAAAGAGCACGTCCTGTTCAAAAGACAATTATTATAGGCCCAGCGCGTGACAGCACAGGCTTTGTCTCTCCTCCCGCTGCTAGCCTCTGTCTCCTCCCCATTTATTGCCCTGGGCTGACCATGTAATCTCCACCATTGTTCTCTTCTGCCTTTTCTTCCTTCCCGTGAGGACGCATTTTGCCTCTCTCTTTAGGCAAAATGTGGCTGCATGGATTTTTGACTTTTTATCTTTCACCTTTCTTTAGAAGATGAGACTTAGTAAGCTAGTGAGCCCAAGACCTTTTCTATCCAGAATCTATTTTTTTACTTCAATAAATATTTTTGAACCTAAAGTTCTGACTCTGCAATCCTGTGCCACCCTAAGAATAGACGTTTATCCCAGCTTCACCACACGTAAGTTTCTGCTGGTTATAAAGTTGACCTCTGCTTTATTAGTTTGAACACTTGGTGTCGACAGCCCCCGCCCAGCAATTGCTCTGCACTGCAGCAGAGAGTTCCGCAGTTCCTGGCCGCCAAAAATTGGAGAGGATTGGTGTAATGTGACCCAACAGGCAGCTCTGGCTACGAAGGCACTCAGCCTCTATTGCTTTCCCTCTAGCCCTGACTTTGTAACAAGCCCTAATTAAAGTACTTGAGCTTTGCAACTTTGAAAACTTTTCCGCTTGATCTCTCTTTTCTCAGTTTGGACCCCTCCGCCCAGGAAATAATTATTTTGTTTTAAGAAATATAATTTGACAAACAGCTGATTGCCAAACTCTGCCGGCCCTACACAAAGCAGCCCACTTCTCCTTGCTGCCGCTCGTCCCTGCTCGGCCCCACAGCCGGGGGCTTGCTGTGGATGCCCATAGGAGACCCTGGAGAGGTGGCTGGGCAGGAGGCCCAGTCCTTGGGCGGGAGACATAGTTCCCCAAGAACGGAGCGATGGATTTTGTTATGGATCAACTCAGCGCCCATCTGTTGACTTCTGCAGGGAGAAATGACTCTTTGCTGCCTGACTTGGACTGCAAGCCACCTCCACTTCCACAAACCTTCCCCAGGAGCATGGGATTTCTAGTTTCTTCTTAATAAATCAATATTGTAATAAAATAAAAGTGTGGGGTGGGAAAGGTAATTTTATATGAACTCTGTATAAAGATATTACTGTATGAAATGTAACTTGTTTTCCCCTTCCCCTTGACTTTTGCCCTACAAAAAGTGATCAGGAACTGCTGCAATGCTTGAGGGGAAATCCCTGTCCCCCCTCGAAACTCACCCATTGATTAAATCATCTGCATGGAACAATAACCATAGTGGTTCCCTTATCTCATTTTCTGAGCATGTCTGATGAGATAAGGGGGTCTATGGGACTCTGGACAAAAAGAACTATATTTACAAAAGGCAGCGTTGATCCCCCTTTTGAGGTCCGCTACCGATTCTGTTGTTTGCCTCACCCAAAACCCATCAAGAAACAGGAAGACTTTTGTTTACAAGGGTCACACCTTGCCAGCCGAGGACAAAGCCTCGCATACCAGCTGGCTGACAACTCCTAAGCCCATCATTTCCTTCCCATTGTCTCTGATCATCCCGCCTCCTGGTTTCTGATTCGTCTATCCTCAGAAGCGGCAGGAGAGTGCTGATTGGCCTCCCAGAGGCGACGGAGCTTGCTGATTGGCTCAGGGGCAAGGCGGGCCGCCAAGCCTCCTCCCAGCTGTTCCAGCCTCAGCCAATCAACATGAAGCCGGCCGACAGAGGGCGGGCGGGAATTTCAAAATGTTTTCCTTTGTATTTTTGCTATAAATACGTCTGTATTCTTTGTACTGGTATGCTTGCAGTGGAATGATTCCTGCAATGCATCCGATATCAGCTGAATCGCTAAATAAATCACCTCGATCGCTTGGAACTTCCTCCGCTTTGGTGAGGGTTATTATTTTTAATATTTTAAATTGCTGAAATTGACTTCCGCTGGCCTCACCAAGGTTTCGGGGCCCTTTTTACATGGTCCTTGGGGATCTCCTCCACTGAGGAGACCCTACTAAAAGCAGCTCGATATCAGAATCACCCCAACAGAAGGTTATTTTTGAGACTAATAGCTCAGATTTCCCAACAAAGAAAAGAAAGGAAAGGAAGGGAGGGGAGGGGGAAGGGGAAGGGGAAGGGAAGGAAGGGAAAGGAAGGGAAGGGAGGAAGAAAGAAGGGAAGGGAAGAGGAAGGGAAGGGGAAGGAAGAAGAAGGAAGGGAAGGGGAAGGGAAGGGGAAGGAGAAGGGGAAGGAAGGGGGAAGAGGAGAGGAAAGGAAGGGGAGGGAAGGGGGAAGGGAAAGGGAAAGGAAAGGGAAGGAAAGGAAGGAAAGGGAAGGGAAGGGAAGGGAAGGGGAAGGGAAGGGAAGGGAAGGGGAAGGGGGAAGAGGAAGGGAAGGGAAAGGAGGAAGGGAAGGAAGAGGGAAAGGAAAGGGAAGGAGGGAAGGAAGGGAAGGAAGGGAGGGAGGGGAAGGGGAAGGGAAGGGAAAGGGGAAGGGGAAGGGGAAGAGGAAGAGGGAAGGGAAGGGGAGGAAGGGAGGGAAAGGGAAAGAAAAAAAGAAAAAGAAAGGAAAAGAAAAGGAAAAAGAAAAAAAAGAAAAGAAAAAGAAAGAGAAAGAAAAGAAAGGAAAGAGAAAGGGAAGGGAAGGGAAGGGAAGGGAAGGGGAGGGGAAGGGAAAGGGAAAGGGAAGGGAAAGGGAAGGGAAAAGGAAAGGAAGGAGGTGGGGAGCCCTCTCTGAGTTTTTAAGTATGTCATTTCTTAAATGAATGTAAGTAAATGTAAAAAATCAGACCCAAGCATGCTGTGAGTAATGACTACCAATCCACCTAGTTGATCTTATGTAATTTGCTGCCAGGGTGGAGTAGTTGTGGAAGTACTAAAGGAGTACAAAGCTTCTATGTTGTTGGAGGGTTGGTGTTGTTGGAGAGTCTGTGTTGGAGGAGTATGTTTAGGAGAAAGCTGCAAAGTTCCCGAAAAAGGAGGAGAAAGCCTGTTGCAAGCAAGAAAGCTTCAACTGATTGGGAGTTGCTGGCAGAAAGGTTTGAGAAGAGTTCCTGTATTGTAAATATTCCTTTGTATAAAGTCCTATTTTTCTACTGGAAGGATCATTGGTGTATGTCTACTCCTGAATCCGGAGAGGGAGAGCTTCTGCTGAGAAGGGGGTTGTTTCTCTTGCCACGTATAGAACCCTTTTAATTACAGCGCGACAAGCCCTGTGCCACGAGGCGGCATACCTTTACTCCAAATTGTACATTTCTAGACGTCAAATAAGAATGACACATTCATGACTCTGCTTGCAGCTCAAGGTAGGATAAAACAGAAATACAAAACTCAAGGGCTCCGCGGAGCACACTCTGAGAATCACAGATAATAACAAATCAGTTGGACTTTCATCTTGTGTTTTCCTGATCTCCCCAACTGACCTGCTCCTTGGCCCAAGACCCTCATAGGGATGGGCTGCATTGCCCACCCTGGCCCCTGGCTTCTCATGGGAAAGGCGAGACCCACTGGCCCGTACCTGGGTCAAGGCGCGGATGGGCCGGCACATGGCCTCATTGGCCACCCGCACAAAGCCCATGGCCACCTCCTCGAGGCTGAGCGGCGGCCTCTCGTCATTGGCCAGGAAGGTGTTGACGTTGTCGGTCATCTCCTTGAAGCCGCGGAGGGCGTCCTCCCGCGAGAGGGGCAGGTCCTCGTTGGGGCCGAAGATGTGGGGGAAGTGCGCGGGTAACAGACGGCCCAGACAGAGGTTGGCATCTGTCACGGTCAGTGGACCCCCTGCAAAGGGAAGGAGAAGAGGAAGAAGGGGTCTGTAGCCCATAGCCACTGCTTTGGAAGCCCCCCTCTGCCCTGCAGACACTGGCTTGGCTCACCCTTCCGATAGCAGGAGGGTCCAGGGTGGGCGCCGGCCGACTCGGGACCCACTGCAAAGAGGCCGGACCTGGAGGGGGGACAGAGATGGAGGGGTCATTCAAAATCGGATGGGGGTCCTACTGCAGACAGCCTCCCACCCAACTTAATATGCCCCGAAAGGAGGAAAGAAACAGGAACAGGCAGAGACATGACCTTTGAGGGAAAGGGTCAGAGGCCAGCTATCCGTATTAGGGGCTGGATGGCCATCTGTCAGGGGTGATTTCAGTGCAATGTTCCTGCTTCTTGGCAGGGGGTTGGACTGGATGGCCCATGAGGTCTCTTCCAACTCTTTGATTCTATGATTCTATGACTCGAGTATCATTTGCCATCGAATCTAATGCACACCTGAATTTTCAATACCCTGAAAACAAAAAAAGTATTTGCTGCCACAGCACCAAATTTACACTCTGTGTAATTTAGGGCATTACTGTTAGACCAGGCATGGGCAAACTTCGGCCCTTCCTCCGGGTGTTTTGGATTTACTCCCACAATTCCTACGGGCTGAAGTCCAAAACACCTGTCATGTCGAAGTTGGTCCATGCCTGTATTAGATAGATAAGGCATTGATAGACGGGAATGCGTTGGCTGTAACCCTATTGAGTAAAATTGGTGGAAAATACAGTTCTATTGGACATGTGGTCACACACCTGCTGCTCGATTAAGTGGGTGTTGACGTGTAACTTGAGGGACATTCTGAGTGTTGGGGTTCAGCCTGAGTTTGAACTTGAACCTGATTCTCTGTTTGTTCCTCCTGATGCTAATGAAAGTATATTTACTGATGCTAGTGGAAATGTACCTCTTGATGCCAATGCTCCTGAAATTAGTGAGGAAGAAACTGCTGTAGGTTTGGAAAATGCCAATGTTCCTGAAATTAGTGAGGAAGGAACTTCTGTAGATTTGGAAAATGAAAGTACCAGTGTCCATGAGAATGTTTCAGAGGGAGACCTTGAACTTTCCCTCCCTTCTGCACCTGTTAACTGTAATGACAACAGAAGGGGCCAAATTTGGGAAGACAGAAGTAAATCACTCAGTTTGCGTCGATCCTCCCGAATTCAAGAATTAAAAACATTGGCTTCAAAACAGAAGGGCGGTTCACGGAACCAATTCTTGAGTTTTAATTGCAATACGCCGAGCTGATTGTCTCAGTTCAGGCATCGTTTCAGAATTGATGAAGACCTTGGCAGTTCTCCCGGTTCCCTGGCCATAGTTTGGGAAGATTTCTAGGATATCAAGTACGGTTAGTGGATTGCTAACAGATTCCAGTATTTCCAGTGAGGCTTTTGGTTTTGCTTTGTCCATTTAAATTCATGTTTGCTGATTTTGCTGTGGCTTTTGACTTGCATTTTTCCTTTATTTTGTAACCATTCTTCTTCAATAAAAAAGGATTGTTTTTCACAGCCAAGTGTGGTGGATAGCTATCTTAGGGCCTCGTTCCCTGCTCTGGATTGCAACACTGAGAAGGTTGTCATGACCATATGAGAGTCATGATGAGGGTTGCATCATTCACTTTTGTCCCTGGCTGTGGGCCAAAGTTGGCCCATGCCTGTGTCATATGATAGAATCATAGAATCATGGAATCAAAGAGTTGGAAGAGACACCTCCTGGGCCATCATCCAGTACAACCCCATTCTGCCAAGAAGCAGGAATATTGCATTCAAATCACCCCTGACAGATGGCCATCCGGCCTCTGTTTAAAAGCTTCCAAAGAAGGAGCCTCCACCACACTCCGGGGCAGAGTTCCACTGCTGAACGGCTCTCACAGTCAGGAAGTTCATGACAAGGGTCCATGGAGGATTCCAGGGCAGTCTGACCTGGGGTCCACACAGTGGCCAAAGTGGGGAGGATATGGTTTGTGCTGCTGATCTCAGGCCAGTCTAAGGAAGGACAAGCAAGGCAATGATAGACACCTGTCCCCACCTGAAGAAGAGCCGTGACCCTCCACCCGCAGCCACCGTGTTGATGTCCAGCTGTGGGGCCTGGATGCTGATGCCGGCGGTGCTGGCCTCGAAGACATGCTCATACTCCCCGGCGTAGCGGCTCACATCTGTAGACGTCCCTGTAGGGGGGGAGACAGGAAGGGACACAGGGTTGGACACAGAGCTCGGTCACTTCAAAAGCCCCTATGCTGTGTCCCCCACTGGCCACCCCACTCACCTCCCATGTCAAAGCCAATGACTGGCTGCTGGTCCTTCTCTCGGCGGAAGGTGGTGACAGCGTAGCCCACGACTCCGCCGGCTGGGCCAGAGAGGATGGCTCTTGAGCCGCTGAAGGCCTCCATTGGGGTCAGGCCTCCATCTGAGCGCATGAACATCACTGGAATGCCCTACAAGGGAGTTGAGGAGAAGGAAAAGGGGAGCCAGGTGAGGGGCTCTGGTGAGAGACCCTAATGCATTGTTACACCGGGACTTTTTGAACCTCTCCACTCAGGACACTTGGGACACTCAGGACACCATTTGGCCCAAGGTATTTCTACACGGACTCAGGTTATACAGATATATAAACATGCCAAGAGGAAGGTGCATCAAGCCAACTCTGTCAGTGTGATGAGTGGATTGAATGAAATTGTATGATTGGGGTCTGGCTAAGAGCCTATTAAGGCCTGGCAAGACCGAAGATGCCATCTTTCCCACACTGATACTGAAAGTGCAGAAAGCCTTGACAGTGACCTGACCCGGCAGGCTAGTCTTGATTTGCGGGTCAGACGGAGTTCTTGCCTGACCGGCAGATGGGAAGCCAGCTCGGGCCAAGGTCATTGCAATGCTTTCATGTTGGTGAGAGCATAATGTTTTCATGTTAGAAAGGTATTTAGGCTTCTTGCAAACTAAGGGAAAGTGTCTGTTCAACGTAGCTTATTAGCCTGAAAGCTTCATTGATTACCTTAGCTGGCAAGCAGTATGCTTGGGATTTCTTGCATTGTGATTCTTGGGGCAATTGTCTTTGCTTGTACCTTGTTTTTAGCTGAAGACCTTTGGAACTGTATTCTGCATTTTACCCGAATCTTTGGAACTTTGTAATGCTTATTCTTTATTTTGACTTGGATTTTTCCTCAATAAACTATAAAAGTACATCTCTTGTGTGGTGGTGTTTGGAAGCAAGGTGAAGCTTACTCTGAGTTGCAACAGCTCCTTCCAATCATCTGTGCCTATGGGAGCCAGGCACGGATGGGGCTTGGACCCAAAAACTCTGTGTGTGTGTGTATTAGGCAGCTTTCCTCACCTTCAGTTGGGAGGCGAACCCCTCCCGGAAGCTGTCCAGGTAGCGGCGGATGCAGGGGGTCAGGTAGGCGTCTGCGCAGGCGGTGTATCCCCGGGGCACGGCCCGCACCATGGGCATCACCTCTGAGGAGAGAGAGACCTGGCGGAAGCCCAGCTCCTGGGCCAGAGAGCCCACCTGCCGCTCGTGCTCCGGCCACCTGTCAGGATGTGGAGAACAGCATAGAGTAACCTTATGGTCACTGCACACTGTACAACAAAATTACATGCCATCCCCAATATGCATCTATATAAATAAAAATGTAATGTTCGTTTGTGGGATTAACAGAACTCAAAAACCACTGGACGAATTGACACGAAATTTGGACACAAAACACCTAACAGTCCAACAAGTGTCCATCACCCGTAAACACACACACAACCCCAGTGGAACAGACTTAAAGCCGCAAAATACACCATATATACATATACACATACACTCATATACATATACACATGCATATATTCATACACACACACGTATATATATGCACAAACACACACAGATATACACATAAACACAAACATACATATACATACACACAGGCCCGTAGCCAGGATTTCGTTTCGGGGGGGGGGGCTGAATTTTTTTCAGGGGGGTTTCGGGGGGGCTGAGTTTCGGGGGGGCTGAGTCTGAGTGAAAGAGGGTCTAGCCTAGCAAACCTTTTGTATCATTACCCCAATACCCCCATGCATATGGGATATATTGAGTATGGTGATCAGATCATGATATGAATAAACATAACAGTTTAAATAATGCACCAGGAAGGCCTTTTCGCGAACCACCATGAGAATTTCGGGGGGGGGGGCTGAAGCCCCTCAAGCCCCCCCCCCCCGGCTACATGCCTGCATACACACAGATATACATATACACTTGCACACACATATACATATCCACATACATATATACACACAAATATGCATATAGACAAGCACACACATATACACTATGCATGCCTACATATAAACACACAAATACACAAATATATACACATACTTATATACTCTCTCTCTCTCTATCTATATATATATGCAAACACACATATATACACAAATATATACACATTAGGGCTGGGCGGTTTCGTTTCGTTAATTCGTAATTCGTTAATAATTCGTTAATTTTTTCAATTACAAAACGATAACGAACCATTCTGGAGCAATTATTAAAAAAAACGAATTTTCAAAAACGTTTTGTAAATGCTTCGTATTTCGATATTGTATTCGTTTCGTTATTGTTTTGAGGTCGTTTCGTTATTTTTTCCGCATGTCTGGGCCAGTTTTATGGTTTAATTAGTGAAAAAAAATTATAATATCACACCAACAGTCAACAACAGAGGGAGAGGGAAGCTTCAGAAGGTTTTGGAGGTTTTTTAGAGTATTTCGCGGTCGCGTCCGCCATTAACGAATCGATTCGTTATTGTTTCGGAAATCGATTCGTTAATTTTTTACCATTTACGAAATTTTGTAAATATCGAACTTTTTAAAAGGAAAATTTTGTAATTATTTTAAATATCGAAACAAAAAAACCCCCCAAATACAAATCGATTTTAGAAACAAATTTTTCCGTTGTTACCCAGGCCTAATACACATACATAAACACATATATACACATGCAAAACACATATACACAGACTGGGCCACAGCAACGTGTGTCAGGCGACAGCCAGTTATTAGGGCTGGGCGGTTTTGTTTCGTAATTTCGTAATTCGTTAAAAATTCGTTATTTTTTTTTGTTACGAAGCGATAACGAACCATTCAGGAGCATCTAAAAAACAAAACGAATTTTTCAATTCATTTCGTAATTGCTTCGTATTCGTTTCGTATTCGTTTCGAAATCGTTTCGTTATTATTTCCGCATGTCTGGGGCAAGTTTTATAGCTGTTGTTTGTTTAATCAGTGAAAAAAATTTATAAATATCACACCAACAGTCAACAACAGAGGGAGAGGGAAGCTTCAGGAGTTCCCCCTGTCCCATTTGGAGGTTTTTTAGCATATTGCGCGGTCGCGTCCGCCCTTAACGAATCGATTCGTATTCGTTTCGTATTCGTTTCGTAATTTTATGAAATTTCGTAAATATCGAACTTTTTTTAAAGGAAAATTTTGGAATTCTTTTAAATATCGAAACGCAAAAAACCCCATAAAACGAATCGAGTTTAGAAAAAAATTTCTCCATGGTTGCCCAGCCCTACTAGTTATATATATAGAACTAGCTGTGCCCTGCCACGCGTTGCTGTGGCCTATAGTAAAACTTATCAAAGTTGAGGTAGATATCTGGACTATTATGAAAGAGAGGTCCCTACCTATTCCTTCCCCCCTTTCCTCCCCCTTTCTCTCCTTTCTTCCTTCTCTACCTCTTTCTTTCTTTCCTTCTTTCACTACTTGGTTTCATCCTTCTCTCTTTCCTTCATTCCCTCCCCCTTTCTTCCTTTGCCTTTCTTCCCTCCCTGTTTGCTTCCTTCTTTCACTTTTTATTTCCTTTTATTTCACCACCATCATAACAATAACAATAATGCAATGCATTGCCTCTGGGACCTGACACCTCTCCCATTCCCCCTAAAAGGGTCTCATAGGAACAATAGCATCATAATAATAATAGAAATAACAACCTTTACCCGCCACGTGTTGCTGTGGCCAATCTTCCCTCTTTCTCTCCTTCTTTCCCTCCCTCCCTCCCTCCTTCCTTCCTTCCTTCCTTCCTTCCCATCTTTCCTTCTCCTCTTCTTTCTCTATCTCTTTCCCTCCTTCCCCCTTTTTCTTTCTCTTCTGCTGTCTCTCTTTTCTTTCCTTCCATCTTTCCTTTTCTTTCCTTTTCTTCTTCCTCTAACTTTCCTTCCTTCCCCCTTTTTCTTTACCTCCCTTTCTCTTTCTTCCTTCTTTCCTTCCTTCCTGTCTTTCCTAGATTTTGACAGGGCGGGAAGGGGGGGGGGGGGTTTGGAGGTGGCGTGAAGTAAAAGGATGTAAGATTGGGGCAGGGGAGTGATGGAGCGTGGGGTTGTGTGTGTGTGCGGCGGCGGGGGGAGTGATGGAGCGTGGGGTCGTGTGTGTGTGCGGCGGCGGGGGGCGGGGGGTTGCGTGTGTGGTGCGGCGGCGGGGGGAGTGGGTTGCGTGTGTGTGTGCGGCGGCGGGGGAGTGATGGAGCGTGGGGTTGCGTGTGTGTGTGCGGCGGCGGGGGGAGTGATGGAGCGTGGGGTAGCGTGTGTGTGTGCGGCAGGGTGTGTGTGTGTGCGGGAAGTGGCGCAGCGGGGGTTGGAGTGGGCATGGTTTCCACAGAGGGAACGTTGGCCGGAAGGCCATGTGCGCGCGCGATGGAACTTGCGGCTGGGCGCCAATGCACATGCTCAGTTGTTTTGCCGTTTTGTGAGTGTGTTGTGTTGTTTTTCATTTTGAGTAGATATGTTTGTACCTTGTGGGTTGTGTTATGGGCATGGGAATTTTGGTTAAGTTTCGTTGGGGTTTTTTTGAGTTTTGTTCTTTTGCCATTTTGTGAGTGTGTTGCTGTGTTGTTTTTCATTTTGAGTAGATATGTTTGTACCTTGTGGGTTGTGTTATGGGCACGGGGATTTTAGTTAAGTTTCGTTGGGGGATTTTTGAGTTTTGTTGTTTTGCCGTTTTGTGAGTGTGTTGTTGTGTTGTTTTTCATTTTGAGTAGATATGTTTGTACCTTGTGGGTTGTGTTATGGGCATGGGAATTTTGGTTAAGTTTCGTTGGGGTTTTTTTGAGTTTTGTTCTTTTGCCATTTTGTGAGTGTGTTGTTGTGTTGTTTTTCATTTTGAGTAGATATGTTTGTACCTTGTGGGTTGTGTTATGGGCACGGGGATTTTGGTTAAGTTTCGTTGGGGTATTTTTGAGTTTTGTTGTTTTGCCGTTTTGTGAGTGTGTTGTTGTGTTGTTTTTCATTTTGAGTAGATATGTTTGTACCTTGTGGGTTGTGTTATGGGCATGGGAATTTTGGTTAAGTTTCGTTGGGGGGTTTTTGAGTTTTGTTTCCTCGTTGGATGCCCCTAACAAATTTATATATATAGATTACAGAACGCCCATCCTTCCGCATTCTAATCACTATTGCACCACCGCTAATGTC